AGAGATCGCTTGCAGAATCGCAGAATCGATCCGAATGATTGTCGACTTTATATAACCCATAATGTTGGGAAATTTCGATCTGAAATTCGAATGGGCATGATGATTTGGCCAGTACTGATGTTTCAGTGCAACTTTGAAACAATTCAGCTTTACAGCTTATCGAATATCGGATTCTCTCAGTAATAAATAGGCTTAGGCGAAATGTCTTCACTATTTTTCGCGAACCACGCGATTCTTGAGATATTTACATAGTAATAGGTGAGGATATGAAATTCTGGAGTCGATGGAATCGGTTCGGAAACTGATTCACATCCTCAATTGATGTGATTTTTAAAATCGACGAAGATTTCTGAAGGGAAATGAGAATAACGATGTGATGTTTCATTTGAAAATGTAAAATTGTTTTTTGGTGTAAGTCTACTGTTTAAAATTTTGGGCTGAAATTTCCGGTAAACTTTTAGAGAATATTCATGCGATTTTCAAAAAATTGTTGTGATTCAACATTTAAAAAAATTTAATTCGAAGCAACATGTGACAAATCAACGTTTACGTTCTTTCACTTAATTTCTGGATGTTTTTATGGTCATAAAAAAGAGATAATTTTGGAATGCGATCGTAACATTATTATCTTGATGAGATCGCCTCGAGACTTTTACACATAAAAAAGAAATTAAGGAAAACTACTAAAAAAACTCGAGAAGCTAAAAAAATTGAGAAGCTAAATTTTCTGATATAGTAAATATGCGAAAGAAATTTTAAATGTCCTCTTCTTATCATATATGAATGTCATAAAAAATTACGTTAGAACCCGTAGATAACCACTTCCATAAACATTTTCGTAACGGTTCAAAATTCCCCTGTGAGTTAATACTCTTCCTCAATCCCTAGAAATAAACATTGAGAATAAAAAATCGACGACTAATCTCCCGAAATTGTAAAAAGAGATTATACAGCGAAAAAGACAACTCTTTCTCCCACGGGATTCATTTCTTTTCTCCGCGACACGTAAAATTTCCTCAACGTAAAATATTATTTACCAAATAACGTTTCGCCCATTAAAAATTGCCGTAATTTTCCCTTAACTCTCCTCTCGGTGCAAATAAATATGAGATTAATCCCACATGCTTCCCATGCAGAATCCCCGGTGAATTTGCAATTCCCTGTTTCCATCAATTTCAAGGGAATCATTTCACCAGTTTAACAACCGTAAAAATTAAAATCTTCCATGTTAAATCACACCGCAGAGCAACGTTGTTGCATTTAACGTAAAAATATGCGTGTGAGCCACGGGTGCAGAGGATTCCGAGAAAATCTCGGGATCGTTAACCACATCTCTATCGGAATGAGGCATCGCACTTGGATTTTACGAGGGTAATTCACTGTTGATCTCTCGGATCATCTGCATTCAACCGAGTTGCTGTAAAATAGAGTAGATCTCTCTGTCATCTGTACAAAAATAATAATCATCATCGATCAATTACCCTCAGTGTTGCAGCCACGATCCGTGTTCTCGGTAATTCGTCTCTGAATTTCTTTTGGCCTCTTGTCGTCACGTGATGAACGGATTTCAGTTTAATGCCGAGTCAATTGGCCGAGATGGAAGATTACAGGGTTCAAATTAGTATCTCTTGACCCAATACTATTTATAAGTGTTCCTTCGCCCGTCTGCTTTATCTCAATTGATTGAAATTAGAATATATTTTTCTATCGTTCACGTCGAATAACACTTGCTCAATTGGGAGCGTTTTTATTGAGTTTCAGTGCAAATGTTCAATGCCACTGGCAATTAAGTATTCAATTGAGTGGAAAAGCCCGAAAATTGTTTGCTTGAATGTTCCTTCTCTGCATTCAAGAGTTCATTGGAGTTTCGTTTCACTTTGAATTCGACACAAAATAAATTATTCACATTATTTATTATTATTTAATTATATTTTCAATTGTTTGAATTATTTAAATGATTAATTATTGTTATTCACTTCTCATTCCCTCGGCTTCACAATGCAAAAATATTATAGATCCTATTGAACTTGATATGAGCTCATTGAACGTTGTCTTGTTGATAAACACTCGTGAAGATTGTTGAGTGCTGTGCTTGACCTCCTTCTGAATAACTTCGATTGTGTGATCGTACAGAAGTTTCTTCGCATCTTTTGCCACTATGAAGTCTAGAAATTATGACATCCTGAAAAGCAGCGTAGAGTCAAAAATTTCCAGAGTAAAAGTTTCCAGAGAAAAAAATACTGGTTTTCCTGATTTTCAAAAAATTATAATTTTTCAATATTTCATGAATCTTTCTCCAAAAGTAAACTTTCTATTTTTTTCAGATTGTTAAAATGGTTTCTAACGGTTCAATGTCGACATTAAAATTCAGACCTGCAAAGCTTGAATAATAAAATTTAATTATTTCATTTTTTATTCAATGGAAAAGCAAAATTCAGTTGCATTTCGACTACGAAAGTAGAAAAACATTTCACTGGAGAAAAAAAACCAAAGTACTCGGATATCCTCAAAACCCCTCACAATATTTTTCACCAATGTTCAAGTCTCCCAGTAGTAATTCCATCGACATTGAATAAATAAATAAATAAACGAGTGAAGTATAACGGTGAGCATGTGGGTCGGGTTGTGGGTCAGTCTCATCGCCTACACAGGGAGTCCCGTGTGAGTCCTTTACCTCAGTGTCGAGCCTCTTAAATCATTCTGGAGTAAAGCTGAGACGTAGAGAGAGTGTCGACTGCACGATGGTTACTCGTGTCTTCTGTCTAGGAGTCAATTTACTTCCCTCAGTTGTTGTTTTTTCTCTCAACTATCTTTATATTTTTCCTTCACCGGGGGATTGCCCACCAGCTGTCTAGTCTGCCTTGAAAGCAGAACGGAGAATGAGAGCAGAATATTCTGTTGAATCACTTCCGCGATTCTCTCAAGGTTCATTGAGGGGTATAGCACTGGGAGAATTCGTGTTCACGTTGAGTTTATTGGTTTTTATTTTTCACAACAATGGAATTCCACTGCCACTACGGAGTTACGATCTCATTTTCTTAACAGGAAATTTTCTTTTCTTCGTGGTGAATAAATTTGAATTCATGTATATCAATATTGGGTGTAGGATCTGTGGAAAATCGAGATGGAGAAGCTGTTGAGGAGATTGAATTATCATTCTGTTGCATGTTTTAATGAGGAAATGTTGAGGGGACATTTGTCATGAGCTCTATAGGAATTTTTATTTTTATTCGGAAAATTTAATTAACGAATTCTGAATGAGTTTGAGAGGCAAACATCTCTGAATTATGGAGGAGAATGAGAGATTATCAGAACAGTTATCACATTTATGACTATTTTATTATTTCATCGGAATAAAATTACCAAAAAAAATTTTTAGTAGAGAATTTCCTCAGCTACAATAGATGTTCTCTCATTTTTTGACAAAGACACATGAAGATTGACAAGCTGCTGAGGAAATTGATTTATCATTCTGGTACATTATTTTAATGAACTACATTTGTCATGAGTTCTAAATAACTTTGCATTTTTATTCGTAAGATTTAATCACCGGATTCTGAATGAGTTTCAGAGTCAAATATCTCTGAATTGAGGAAGGAAATGCGAAATGATCAGAACAATTAACTATTTTATTATTTCATCGCAGTGAAATTAAAAAAAAAAATTAATAAATCAAATTCCCTGGGTCCCACTATTCACGAAAAAATTAATTCAAAAATTTCATACAGTCATACAATTTATATATTCATCCACTCAGGTTCATTCCCATCCGTCTTTTTATCTCCAGAAGCCCTCGGGTACTCGAGAAAAAATACCACAGTTTGTTAATCTGGGTTAATCGCCTGGCAGATAAAGTGACTCCCTTTTAACTTCACGAAACACTTGTGTTTCGAACACTCGAACATTACAAAAACACAAAAAATTCCGGGGAGAAAGAACTCCGATGTTTAACAATTTATGCCGGTCCAGTTTAGATCTGCACATGTATCTTGCGTGTACGCGTGCACACGTGTGTCGAGAGTCAATGGCAGTTGAGACGGGTTCGGTGTTCGCACCATGTACCACCTGACCAGTTATGCAGTTGATTATGTGGTGATCTTTGTGGGGGCCCTTCAACATGTTGAGAAATAATCGGGGAGAGGGTAATTACATGGCTAAGATCAGTCACCATATCCGTAGATATTTTACCGCTGATTATGCGGTTGGAAATTCATGCTTATCAGAGAATTCCAGACAACTTGTTAATTGTTATCTGAAAAAAAAAATATTGTGGGTTTTTTTTATTTTGATAAAAATTATGGATTAGAAATTGCAGATAACAATTTTTTTAAAGTCTCTAAAATGACTGTTTACAGAAAATGCAGATCTTTTTTGTTCTGCGTGAATTTTTCAATTAATAAAACAAGTATCAAAAAATATTGTGGGCGTTTTCTCTAAGAAATTTAATTGAAATATTATATTAATTTTTTACGTTAATTCCATTAAAAATTAGGCAACGGCCCCCCGCGTCGTATTTTTTTAAACATTCAATCACTCTTTGCAAATAAATAATTGAAATTGTTTAAACTTCCAGAAACCGTATTTTCTTGGGCATGAAATCGATTTCGATGTTTTCCAACATTTTTATTTTTTTAAATGTTTTTCTAAAATGTTTTCAAATTCAGAAGTATAAAGTTTAAAGAATAAAATCCTTGTAAAATGTCTGGAAACTTAGGGTCAGATGGGAAAAACATTGCGCTGTATAAACACAAATGAATTAACATTACAATTTCCTCATGTATTCATGAAGTAATTTTCCAACTCACGATAAGGTACAACAAACGACATTCCCCCCTGTCCCATGTTTATTCTAACAAAAATTACAGCCACTTGGTGGCCATAATTTCACTCGAATCGATTGCATCTAGCGTAATATTATTTACGACGTTGAAAATAGAATTTATAATGGAGTTTGGAGTTCATTGTTTTTAATATGCATTTGTATTATTCCATGTTAACAGGCCCACGTAGTTGCAGCCTTTGAGCAGTCACTGTCGAACATGACCCAGAGGCTACAGCAGCTCACGGCGACCGCTGAGAAAAAGGTGAGTCAATTTCCGGTTCTGCATTTCAAGTATCTCCAATTCCGTTGGGCCTGGCTCATCGGTTTTTTATAAGTAAAAAAAAATGAGGCAGACGTCGAATGGAGGATGGATCAATTTACGTAATCACTTCTTCGTAATCAGTCACGCGACGAATTTTTATTAATCTCTTCGCGTCGGGAGAGAAATGGAATTGGGTACCATCTGCTTCTGGAGTTTAAATCGTAGGGTTTAGCCTCTCACATTAAACTACTGTTTTTGGATGAGTTAATTGAGGAGGAAAATGGTATCATCAAAAATTCATAGTTTCTGGGAAGAAGATCATTGTTTTTTTATTTCGAAGAATCGTTCGGAGATGCGCAGACTCATCTTTGAATTCAGTGGATTCTCGGAGGAAAACTTTTGCGTTTTTTAAAGAAAAATTTTTAGACATTATGATTTTTTATGTCTTCGACCGCTCTAAATTGGAGATTTGTATTTTTTGTAACGGAAAATTCAAGTTTGAAAAGTATTTAACTTAATTATGAAAATTGGGGGAGAAGATACATTTTGAAATGCATTTTGAAATTATTGAATCGTTAGAAAATATTTTAAAAATCTGAAAAAATTAGAAAAATGTTTTTTGGGGGAAGATTAATTAAATAATTGAAAAATTGCACCCTTCAAACATTACGAGCATTTTTTGTAAATAATTCATAAGCAATCAATTTTCCACCCTAAAAATCATTTGTTCGGAATCGTAACAAATTTATCCATTTTCATAATTTTCCCAGAAATCAATTTCATGCCTAAAAATGAGATTTCCGAATGCTTAAACAATTTCGATTATTTATTTATAAACAACGAATGTTAAAAAAAAATAATTCTGTGTAAAATGTAATTTTAATGATCTTCTTAAAATTTGTCTCACGGAATTTAATCGACAAATCAGCTCAGGAATTCTCATCCCCAATTGACAAATCTCTCGTCCAAATTCCCGGAGAGCCTCTCCCTCGCAGTTCTAAACAAAAGCCCAGCGCTGAATGATCCGCCTGCATTCACGTTCCTATCAAAACGCATTTGTAACCCACCTCCCAGAAATTATGGCGTCTAAATCCCCCCGTACCGATTGAACCAAAGCAAAATTTATCAAAATTGCATCGTCTCAAATATCCTCACACCATGGAGCTGCACCACTGCGTCGAATTATTCCCAATCTGTACAGCTATCTGACAAGACGTCAAAGTAAAATTGAGACTTCCAATACCGAGAGATCAAAGGAGCATGTGGATAGGAGGAGCGCAATGCAGAGTGAGATAAAAAAGCCATCGAGATCATTGGTATCACCGGATTCAAATGAATCCCATTCCAGTGGCTCCGGCGGTCCCTTTGGAGCCCCTGTGAGTCGTCTCAGCCGAATTTCATCGAAGCGAAAATACCGGGAGATCGAAAATTCTTCGGATACTCATGAAAATGGCATTTCAAAGGCCATTTCCCTTCGCAAAGCGAGCAAACCCTCAGCGATCCAATCACCAGCCTCCAAACGTCTGAAGAAGGACCACAAAGACCTCAGAGACATCAGTGGCACTTCGGACCCAATGAAGCCTCGTAAAACCGTCAGGCAGTTGAAGTACGAACGCATGAAATTACGATTAATCCCGAGTGATAGCCACAGCGAGGAGAAAAATAGCGAAAAAAATATCCGGGGCATCTCCGATAAGTCGACGGTGGCAGCATCGATTACAAATGCCGATGGTGTATTGGCTCTCGGTAACCAGAGTACAATAAAACCCTCGCTTCGTTTCGAGGACATGCTCGGCGAGCGGCTGGAGGCGAGCCCCAAGTCCATGAGGCAATTGTATAGCACCGCAGACTCGTGGAGCAGCGACTCCAGCGATTGAACTCCCGTGTATTTCGAGACCATTGTAACCCTGGATCAATAAATCAGAGCTTTTTTGAAATGGAGGCGTGGGTGGGGTATTGGCTGGGGAATTGATTGTTTATTGGTGGTTGGGACGGGGACTTTTCGGTGGGGAATTGGAGGTAATTTGGTTTTTGGTGAGTGAGAATAAAGTTGATTATGGATTCATTGGATTGGAGAAGTTTTGAATTCAAGAATTTTTTCAGAATCGGAAATTGATTGATTTGATCTCTCGAAATCAATCATTGAGAGGATTTTAGTATTGAAGGCCAATTGTGAAGAAAATGTGGGCATTTTGTTTTCGATTTGAACTGAGAAAATATGAAAATATGAAAGGCGAATGGATTTTATGGAGAAAAACCATTTTTCGTTTCCAAATTACGTATATTTATTTTTGGAACAAGTGCTTTGCGAGAAAAAATGACTCCTAAGCTGAAGGTTCAACCATTTTCAATCACCAAATTTGTCAATTAAATTAACTGAAAATTTTTTTTTTTAAAACGTGAATATTCAGCGTCTTTAAAATTACATTTTGCACAGAATTATCATTTTGCAAAAAATTCGTTGTTTATAAATAAATAATTGAAATGGTTTAAACTTTTGAAAACCCTACGTACTGGAATAAAAAACTTCACTCCAGAATTTTCATTTGAAAATGCGGACCAACTCATTCCCCAGTGAACTGTTCCACAATTAATCTTTCGGCTATCGCGTCGAGTTTTCTCGATCCTAATAAAAACCCTGATAATCCACGCGATGATTGATCGACTTTGATTATCGCTCAATCCACGAATCTTCTCGATCATGAAATCCTTTTAATCCTTCACCTCCTCGGTTATTAATTTAATTGAAGGCTGAGCGACTAAGTAGAACGGATTTATGTATGAGCAATTGAAGTGGATATTTTATTAAGACTTGTTCTCTCTTCGGGGGCAGTAGAAGAACGGATCAAAGGAAAACGTAGTCACAAAAACTACCGCCTCTACACCAGGGTTTCCTCCATTGTAGGCTTTGCCCTTTGTGTTTATTATTTAGTGAACATTGATATAGTTCGCGGTAAGACCTCGCCGGGAGTCTCTCCAGGAAGCGTAATCTCATAACGTAATTAATAAGTCGTATAGCTGTAGTAGTTGAGTAACACAATCCAATTGTTTTTCTCAACACAGTATTAATCAGCAGAATTTCATAATTTAATTTCATCAATTCCTCAAAATCCGACAGTTCTTATAGAAATCCCGAATTATTAAAATAATTTCATCATTGATAATTTCTTACATGATTCTAACTTTGACGAGAGTAAAAAATTAGTCCATCAAATTCTGTCTCCAATGATTTTCTTAAGGGAAAACGCAACCCCTGTGTCTCTATGAATTTTTAGAATTGTGTTTTCTCCTAGAATTATTAATTTTTATTTATGACACTGCTTTATCAACTCGATTATTGGTTTGTTGAGTCAATAAACAAAAATTATTTACCACAAAAGTTTGACACTAATGACAACTTTTGCATTAGTTATAAAATTTTCATTTATTTTTTCTGATTTTTAAGATGTTTTCTACATTTTAATCTCCTCTCTAATCTCGAAAAAATAATTTTCCCATAAGACTCTGTTATTTCGCCACTTCTGAATTAATTATTGTCAATAATACTAGAATGCCAATTGTTTTTATTCCTATCACTTTCCGTTTAGATTTATTCCAGATTTGAATCTTCAAAATTGTTTATTCTAGTGATCTTCATTCTACTTTAAGAATGGTTTTTTCTCCTTTAAGATTTAATCAAGAAAGTGATGTTTATTCTACTTTAAGCGCCACCATCAGCGAAGTGTTCACCCAATTTTTCCATCATTTCAGGACTCAGAGCTGCAAGAACTCCGGGAAACGATAGAGCGTTTGCGTCAGCAAGGTGCAGAGGCAGTTCTAACAAACAATGCAGCCACATCAAACGGTCGTAGACACACCCTCGGTGATTCAGATTCCGGTACAACAGGCTGCACTGGTTACACCAGCAATCAGGGCTCCTCAATGGCACGTCAATTGTCAGCCGACAGTGTAACATCATTGAACTCAATAAGCAGTCAGTGCTCAGTGAGCAGTCACCACAAGAAGAAGGGCTGGCTGAGGAGTTCCTTCTCGAAGGCATTCTCAAGACCCCGAAAGAATCGTCATGGCTCAGTGTCAGACGCCGAGGACAGCAAGGACAATGGTTCAATGATCACTGGTGAACTCAGTGCGCCCAACAGTCCACGACTGCCTACAGCTGTTAAACACGACAATTCACAGCAGAATAATGGGGAATCGAGTGAACAGAAATCACCGGAGCATGATAATTCGTTGAGTGGCAGTAAAAGTAGTTCAGCACTTTATAAAACGGACACCACTGTCGATGAACTTAAGAATCAATTGAGGGAGAAGGATCTTGTGCTCACTGATATTAGGCTCGAGGCACTGTCATCAGCTCATCAATTGCACTCGCTCAAGGAGCACTTCAACAAGATGCGGGTGAGGGATTACTTTTTTTCTGTCGTGGTCTTAGTTATTACGTGATAATAGAACGTTTATGGGGGGTAATGAATGGCTTGGAAACAGCAATTTCATGGGGCCTAGAGGTTTAAAATGGGTCTCAAGAGAACTCTTTCACTGGAAAATTGAGGAAAAAATTGGAGTACTGTTATGGGGAGGTTTAAGGGCTTCATTCGGTGGGTTCAGTGGTTCCAAGTTGTTGAAGTCATTTTTTTTTTGCTATCTCATGATTTTTTAAATTGAGGGAGAGAAGATGGTGGAACGTAATATGAATGATTTTCATTCTTCTTTTTCTCTTCTCTCATCATATATATATATAACAGTCCCATAGCTGTCATCACATATCGTCATCATAATTATCATTATCATTTTCATTAACAATCTCGTAGGACAAGACAATTGAAAGATAGAAAAAGAGTATAATCAATCGAGGTTTTTCAATCGCAAAACTAAAAATAACATTAATTCCCACGGAATTAAAACCTAAAATGATTTTCAGAACGAAATGATAAACCTGAAGCAGGACAACGAGCGCCTGCAACGGTTAGTGACCTCGAAATCCCTGACGTCGTCCCAGTCGTCCCTGCCGAGCGATCGAGACCGTCGTTTCAGCATGACGGAGGTTCCCTCGAGTGGAGGCTTGCCGAACGGTGAGCACACGTCAGCGGTGGATCAGCTGGACGACATAACAGTCCCAGAGCACCCGATCGTCCCCACCAACGCCTCGACAGAGCCTGTAATCGAGGACACAGACGGCAAGAGGATAAACGTCGCTGTCTACCTCGGCAGTGAAAACAGCTTCAACCTCAATTTGACCTCGGGGCAGGACGGGATAATCGGTGAGCCAGCCCACTGCATAATCGCCAACGTCTGCATCTCCAACAAGACCTCGTGGGACGGACTGGACTCGACAGTTCGTCGTTGTCTCAAGGATTACGTCTCCAGGGTGGATCCGATTAATAATCTGGGGCTGGGGGTGGACTGCATATCGGCTTATCACCTGGGGGAGGCGTCCAGGTGCACAGCAGACCCTCAGTATCCTGAGCTGCTGCCCTGTGGGTACCTCGTCGGCCACGTGAAGACGATTTATCTCGTGCTCTCTGGCTACTCCTGGCTGGCCATCGACACTTTGATCCCCAAGTCTATTGTTCAGAGGCTCATTTCACTGTTCAATGATCATCGGAGGGTTATTCTGTGTGGCCCCAGTGGCACTGGCAAGAGTTATCTAGCTGGGAAACTCGCCCATGCTCTCGCTGGCTCGGACTCGGAGACTGGAGATCCTGCTGCTGTCGCCACTTTCAATCTTGATCATAAGTCGAGCAAGGAGCCGAGGGCGTTCTTGGGGCATATTCTGCAGAGGTGTGCGTCCAATGCTGGTGAGTTGGGGGAATTGCCATTCTTTTTTAAGGGGTTCGGAGAGTAAATGACATTTTTCTAGATTTTATTTTCGAGTTATTTACTTTAATTAATCGTGAGTGCTATTTTGAACTGTTCATTTAATTAATTTCGTTATTATACTTTATGTTTATTTAATTTGATCCTGGAATTGACCCTAAAAAACGGGAAAAAATTATTATTTTTTCACAGATGAAACCTGTTAATGGTTCGAAATTAATAATTAATTAACTATTTAAAAAGATTGATTGAAATTATTTAAAGTTTTATAATTTTAGTCAATTATGAAATGGAAAACAAAAATAGTGCATCCTTTGGATTATATTGACCTTTAGTTTTCTAAAACCATTCAGAATTGTGTTTTGAATAAATACCCAATGTCGAATAATCGTTAATCCAATATTGTTCTTTCGACAATGTCCCCAGGTGATGAACTACCCCGAGTGATAATCGTGGAGAACCTCCAACACGCGAGTTCCCTCACTGAATTATTCGGTGGACTGAATGCCAAGAATAAATCGTTCCCCGCGATAATTGGTACAATGAGCCAGACGACATGCAACATCACGAATCTCCAGTTGATCCACAACTTCCGTTGGATAATGTGTGCCAATCACATGGAGCCTGTGAAGGGTTTCCTCGGGAGATTCTTGAGGAGAAAATTACTGGAGCACGAGCTGAGGGAGTGCGGAGGGGTGAGAAATGCGGAGATGGCGGCTGTTGTCGAGTGGATGCCGAGGGTGTGGCTGCACTTGAATAAGTTTCTGGAGACTCACAGCAGTTCAGATGTGACTATCGGGCCCAAGTGGTTCCTGGGGTGCCCCATGGAGGTCGCCAACTCGCAGGTGTGGTTCACGGATTTGTGGAATTACTCGGTCATTCCGTATCTCGTGGACAAGGTGAGGCAGGGCCTGGAGCTCTACGGGAGGAGGACCAGTGGCAATGGGAACACTGATGGGGCCTGGGAGGATCCTACACAGTTCATCATCAATAGCTATCCTTGGGTGGCTACGCAGGCTGTTCATGGCGGGTTCAAGGCTCTTGTGCCATTGAAACCTGAGGACGTTGGGTATGATGATGAGGATCCCTCTGGACACACCGCTGGAGTTGGGAGCTCCAGTGTTAAGAGCCTCGGAAGCACACACAGCGATACTGATGGGGATCCTTTGGTGAGATTATCAGGCATTATTTTGGATTACCTGAATTCGATTGATTTGAAATACAAGAATGTATTCGCCGGAATTTTACTGATTTCACTGTTTCCATGAAATTCCTTGAAATTTCAGTGAAACTATAATGTGATTGATTCAGCTTAATGTTTTTAGAAAAAAACAACGAGTTCTCATGGAATAATAAATCATAAATAATGTTCATAGAATAATAAATTGATCTCAGTTCAATTATTCTATAGTTTTCATTGATTTTGCATAAAATTTTGAATTGCCAATAATGAAATTCTTTGAAATTTCAGTGGAAGTATAATATATATAATAAAAATTTCCCCGAAGTGCACTAGAAATTCCAGCCAGAAAATTTCTAACATTTCCCAATTTATTGAATACAACGCCAATTTTAATTTTCTTATTAAAGCTGAACATGCTGATGAGACTGCAGGAGGCAGCGAACTACTCGAGTCCCCACAGCAATGACAGTGATTCAGCCACATCCCTGGACTCATCCAACACTCGACACTCCGAGGACCTCAACACCTCGAGATCATCCAATACCGGAGTGGAATCAGCCCTCTAGATTTGCATCAACAAATTTGCCACCGAGAAATTTCCACGACTTTATGATTCAAGTACCACCAGAGTAGCTGTTTAAATGGTTCTTTGCAACGATTCGAAATCAATTCTGATGGGCTATAAAGCGAGACAAATAATTTATGAAACTGCCTAGTAAATTTAAAATCCACTTCAAGTGCGTTTTATCGTTCTCATCTCACTGCCGTGATTTTTCAGCGTGAGGTGGTAGTTGAGGCTAGCAATTTTAGTCTTTTAGTTACGGGGTTGAGGTAGAAATGGATTATTTCCGAAAACTTGGAAATCTTGAGAGGACTATTTACGTAATGAGTGACTATTCTTGTCATGTGAATTTTCCAAATTTTTTCCACTCTATTTTTCTTTCCTTTTCATTAAAAAAATCAACCGAAAAAACTTGGAAAATTTGAGTCAAACATTTCTGCAGAGAATATCTCAACATTAAGTTGTATAGAAAAATCGAGTTCTGTTGATTTTTTTATAGAATATTTTCCATTGAATATTTCCCCATTTTTTCAAACGTAATAATTTCTTCTCATTATGTAAAAAAAACAATTTGTTGTTATAATGACGAGTTCAATTATGAAGCTCTCATTTCCAGTTCTACCTCACTACCCCTCAAGGTCTAATTAATAATGTTTCGATAATTGAAAAAACAATGGCGATAACTCCGTGTTTCAGAATAACGATGCCTCGTCATCGAAGTAGTGCAGCAACTCACAAGAATCCGAATAAAATTGATTATATTTTTAAGAAACGTTAGACGACTCCAATAGCTTGACTACAAATACGATCAATTAAAGTCCAGTGCCTGTGTGGCGACGATAAATTCTTTCTAACGAAATACAGTATTAAAAGGCTCGAATGAAATCCATCGTTCTTGAATGCAACCTGCGAACGACGAGAGGAATTTTCCAGGATTTTTTTTTCAGCAGAAAAAAAAATGAAAACGTAATGTGAAATACGACGTAGTGCGTCTATGAATCATTGACTCGGGAATATATTTATACAGAACAGATCTGCATGGAGACAGCAAGAGAAAAGGCTATATATTTAATTCGAAATGAATGGAGAATGTTGATATAATATATAAACGAAAAATAATGGCGCTGAATTTTATATAAATGTATGGATTCATTATATATATTCTGATTAAAATTTATAAACTAGCCAGTAAGATACGTGAGTAATTCTGGTCATATGTAATTTGTAAATAGAACGACTTTTAATGCGCATTAAGTGAAATGATGGTGATGATTGTGAAGAGATGCAGATGATTAAGGGAAGGAAATGTTGCGGATGCTGATGAAATAATATATCTCACTCGAGATGCGAAGTAATGAGACAATTTCGATTGATAAATTCAAGGCATTTTAAACTGCAAAAAAATGGGTCTAACTTTGTATTGCAAATTTGCTCCAATTTTTCATGTAACCACTGCTGGGAAAAATTACAACTTTTAACGTTTTTTATTGTACATGTATTGTGATACGAATTTTTTTCGTAAATAAAATCTCTTTAGCCCACTTTGACGAATGAAATGAAACGATGATGACAAAGTCTAGGGAAATTTTAAATATGACCGGATCAATGTGAATGTTTATGGTGACGAATTATACAGTCGCGTTTACAGAATTTTTTACGTTTGTACCGCTATTTGTACGCTGTACTGGCGCCTGCACCCCAACTTTCCCGAAATAATAATCATAATTGTGTCATAAATAAAATTATAAATCTTATGAGACGTGGTTTGTTAATTCCTGACCCAGCGCGATCGTTAAATGGCTGTTTTTGCATTCCACTGATTTATAACGTGATGAAAAATTAGTTTTATTCGATACAAATGTTCAATCAGTCGGATAACGACTTCAAACAATTTTCTTAATTTGTGCACTAATTTTTAATTATAAAATTTCTTGTTCTACTGAATTCATATATTACTAAAAATAGAAAATTGGTAGTAGAGTTAGTTGAACCTTTTTTAAAATTTTTCCATGTTATTTTTTCATTTTAAAAAATGGTGAAATCATGAGGCAACTTTTTTCGCTGAAAAATATTCGAAACGGAGAGTTTTGGAGAAAAATATCCATGAATTTTGTGGATTACAAACAAGTAGTGTTGCAAAATTTTTGAAGACCTCTTCATTTCTGAAAAATAAAAAAACTCACGCTCTTGTAAATGTCCTTAGAAAGGAGAATTGTGAGAGAATGTTTCAATAGAAATTGTTCGTAGAAAAATCGTATTTTATGAGAAGCAAAATTCATCTTTAAAAATCTCCAAGTTTCTTAAAAATTTAACAAAAGATCATATTTGTAAATGTTATGAACTATAAACAATACAACTGAAAATTTTTCTGCAAAGCCTCTTATTCTGGCAACAAAACAATTTAAGCAAATTAATTTACTGGAAATCTTGACAATCCCCCAAGTTCACCAAGAAATAACGAAAAACAATTGGTAACTGCATCCTCTTAATATTACCTCTTACAAATTAATTCAACAGAATGCACTCACTCATCTCACGATTACAATTATCTACGACACTTATCGATGATCTAGAATGACACTGGATGGGTACTTTTTTATTTTCAAGCAATACTCCACAACCGCGTAAATGGTGAGTAGTCTTCTGTCCATGGCACTCAGGTGATCCTCAGTGATGAGAGATTGAACCCCAGCCATCATGGACTCGTGTGCGAGGAGTTGTCCGAGGGAGACACTGAGTGCACCCCCTCCCAGCAACTGCAGCCTGTCCCAGGTGGTTTTGTGGATCATGCAGCATTGGTAAAGAGGTGCCAGAATGTCCACATGATCGACGTCTGGGTTCGCCAGGCTCTTTCCGTTGTCTATCAATAGTACAGCGGGATTATGGAAATTGTGGGTCAATTCGTAGTGATGCCTGTCTCCGTTGTCCATCAGATAGTCGAAGACTGCTGTGTCTATCAGATCTAGCAGACGACTGGAGGAATGGGGGGCATAAGTCTTTGTCTCTTTCACCTTGAGAAGAAAAGGAAAATTATTAATACATTTGCAAATTTTATTTTTCTATACAATTATTATTATTTTTTTTATTCTATTGATTCTATTGGCCAGTTTTCAATGAAATAGAGTCGTTACGAAAATTTCGTTGGCTCTCTTAAATTCTGAAATATTCCTTCGTTTTATGAAATATTTCCTGTAGAAATTTCTCAGCTCAATTTTTTTAGATTTTTCATTCAATTTTTATAATGAAAAGAGAAGAAAAATAAAGGGGAAAAAAATAGAAAATTCATGTCGAGAATTTTCTATAGCAAATGTCTCAATAGAAAAAGTTTACATCAATAGAAATCTATTGGTGTAAAAACTTATTTCGTGCGGAGTTAAATAAATAAATTAGATCAAGTAAATGAATTGATAAGAAAATAACTAAGCGAATGAATAAATAAATACATAAATAAATTAAAGTATTAAATAAATTAGGGTAGAATAAATGAATTGATAAAATAACTGAATAAATGAATAAATAAATAGATGAATAATCCTGTACCTTGTCACAATAATGAAGATCCGTTTCCCACAGGGCCAATTTATTACGCTTATAAGTTCTCTGCCACGGATGTCGATGTTTAAATAACTTGAGATAATCCGGTAGCCACAGAATGAGTGCACCCTCCAGAATGTCATTAGAGCTGCAAACTGGATCTGCTGGTGAGCAGTAATGGCAGACCCCGTAGAAGCAAGTCTCATTTCCCTCCTGATACAGAGTTTCGTATAATTTTGGTGTCGCGCAATTGCGAATTTCACTGAGCCTCACTGAAAACGAAATTTCATCGCAAAGTGACAATTTTCTCCTCTCATTTTTCGAGTTAGAGTGACATTGAGGGATGGATTCTCATCCTTACATTTTCTAGTGACTGTGAGAGGAACTCTCCTCAGTCCGAGTAAGGAAGACAAGTGGAAGGCCACGACCTCAGCGTTGTGGCGATCTTTACCGAAATACACTGGCCCATTTAGAATAGTATCTCGCGCGTACCATTGGGGCTTAAAAAGTGCCTTAACGCCCGACTCCAATGTCAGCATCAGTTTCAATTGTGTACCAACTGGTGCATTGTCAGCTTTTACTATTTTCGCTCTTCTCATTGCCTCGAATATTGTCCCCAATTCTGGGGCCGCTGCGGGCAGCAACTGATGCGCATCTGGCCACTGAAAATCATCACATTGAACTGGCATGCAGAGGTCTCATTAGCACTGCGCACGAATTTTCATACAAAAGTCTAGCGAACTTGATGCAAAATTCTGCGGCTTTGCTGCACATTTTGTTAATAGAAAATGTGCAATAGAAATTATCTCATTTAAAAAATCCGTACAATTGATCTTTCTAGACAACTTTGTCTATGGAGACTAGAAAAAATCGTAGACATAAATTTTGCAAGTTTTGTTCACTCTGTTGTTGTTTTTTCTGAAGTTGAAAAATTTGAACTGATTAATTTTTATAGAAAAGAAATTGAATTCTGTTGATTTTTTTTCTATAGAAAATTTTCCATCAAACATTTCTATTGAAAAAACGTGAGAAAAATCTTCTGTTCTGTTTCGTAATTTTCTACCCCTTCACTAACATTATTATTCGGTATACTCCAAATGTCCTTCTGGGCATTAGGCATGATCCTCAACTCGGCAAGAAGTCTATCCAGCAGCACAGCGTAGCTAGAATTCCTTTTGAAATACTTGGAAGGTAGCAATCGCATTTCAGCTTTGATTTTCTCCTCTACCTCCCTCGTCATCGATTTTCTCACTCCTTTTTTCTCCTCATCCTTAGTCCCCAAATTTTCCCCATTCTTCTCCCCCGATACCGGCAGATTGCGTGAATAACTTTTCTCCGGTGAATTCTCAACAATCATGCGGATGAAATAAATATTAACGGTGAGCACGAGAATCAAGAGACCGCCAAGCGCGAAGAGCGCGCATCTACGGCCAATCATCTGTAAGCAGGAATACGGGGAATAGGGACCGTGCGTGAATTTTTTTAAATTTTTTATTCTCAAGTGTCTGCCTGAAATGATTCATTTTCCGCTCATAAACATTAGAAATATTGCGCGTTAATTAATAATTGATCGTCGAAAGCTAGATTTCAAACGCGTTGAAATCGCTGATGACGTCACAAGGGCGGTCGAACGCTGGACCAATCACAGGATGGCTCGAGCCAACCTAACCCAATCTTCACGCGCGCCGCATCCAATGGACGACGGCAACTCCCCTCTCTCCTCACTTTCGACCAACGGAGCGCTAGCCAACATTTCTTATGCCACTTTGTGACGTCATGACCGAAATAATAGCTTTTAAAAACCTCTGATTTTCAATTAATTATTATAAAACATCTAGGCAAAATTTCTCCGTAATTCTTTTCGTTTAGTCATTTATCTCGCTAGGGTTATGCAGAATGGGTGAATGGGCAAATTAGAGGAAACTTAGGCTCCATGCAAGGACTATCTATACTATCGCTTGCGTGTGGCCCCACACACTTGCACACGCGAATGACTGTGGGGCACTTGTCAATGAAAAGAAATAAGTGGAGATTCGAAATGATAAGATGAGGGTGGAATGACTGAATTTCGGGGGATTTTTACCTCTGAGTTACTGAGGGGATCCACTGGGCCACTCGGGGAGGACAATGACCTCCCATTTTTCACGAGAAACTATCCCTCTCGGGCATCACACAGCGCGATCGCCGGCACGATGCGACTACTAACTGTCGCCATGTTTCATTCCCTATTTCAACTTACGCATACACTTGCAGAAACGGGCGGACAATGTTCATGCAGAATGCAATGCCCGGATTTTTTTTCTTTTTTTTTTTAATTTGAAATTCAAATGCGAGAGAAAAGAATTTCTCACGATCACTTTTTAACTTTTTTAACTTTAATTTTTCATGTGAGGTATTCGATAATTACGAAAGATGGAACATTGGAAAATCAATAATTGATGGGGGGAATAGATAGTCGATGTCATTAATATGTAATTGCAAGTTGAGACAACGGGAAATTGATGATTAATTTATTTGAAATGGGAATTTGAAAGAATTAATAGAAAAATCTAGGACTCTTTCAACGAACTCTATTAAATTTCTAGAGGAACTCTATAACAGTTTTCATAAAGTTTTATTAGAGTTCGATTTAAAATTCCGTTTTTTGCGGCATTTCTTTCAGAAATTACGCAACTTTATCTAAAAATCTGTTGAATTTTTTCTATCACTCGGGTGGGTGTCTTGCGCGCCCGATGTATATAATTATACCCATTGGGTCTTATATACGAAATGCATTGTATATCCCTGTTGTGATAATGGATAAATTATTGAAATTATCAAAGTCAGTGGCCAATTTCAAAAGATAGAAATTATTGAAATTTTGCGGGTATAGCTATAGGAATTTTTCCACGTGTGAACGGACTATTTAAACGAATCACTTGAAAAAGAAACGAACGAGGAAAAGCATGATCATACAGTCATCCACTTTATTTTATAAAAAACATGTAAACTACATGATGAATAATATTGAACTATTTATTTAAACTTTAGGCTAAATACTCCTGACCCATTTGGAGTTTCCAAAAAAATTGTTTTTCGTAGAATGCAGTCGCAGTGGCTCGGTTCTCAATTGATATAGTTCCTCTCCATCCTCCTCGTGTCTCTTGACTTCTGAAATATTCGTTTTACCTTCGAGGGCTACAGTTGTACGAACATTTATCTTATTTACGTCAATAATTGTACATTCAGTAGTAATTAAGGGTTGTTCTAGTCTCTGCGTTGACGGTCTCGTTCCCTCGCTAGCTCTGCTGCGTAGTCGATTGGTGAACCTCTCCTGTAATTATCAAAAATGTTGACTAACATTTTCATTGACAAATGCGCAATATTTTAGTTCTCAATAAATTCGTCCCATTCTAAATTTTCACAATTCAGGAATAATATTGCACATTCCTCATTTTCGTGAATATTACATTACTGAGAATAGAAATTAATTTCACATAAATAATAAATTCAATAAATGAAGATGATTTACTCTCATTAAACTCTTCCATTAAAAATAATAATTTATTTATTAAAAATAATCATTTATTTATCTTGTGCCTCATTTCCTAGAAAATTTAAATGAGAATTATGTGTCCCCTGTTTAATATCAATTTCATTGGCAATTGGGTCAAACTGTTTCATGATATTATGAGGCGAGGAAAATTCTATTTACCTGTCCCTGTGCCTATCCCTATCACGATGACGCTCCTTGCTCTTCTCCCCCACGAATTTATCCCTACTGCGACTCCTGTTCCTCCTACTCCTGTCACGGCTTCGATCTCGACTCGATCGTCTCGAGTGTCGATCACGTTTTCTGTCGTCCATCCTCCCCCGATCCCTCGACCTCTCACGTTCTCGTGATCTCCTGCGCTCTCTGTCACTTCTGTCCCTGTACTTGTCCCTTCGATCCTCATCAGACCTGAAACACGAATATGAGACGAGAGAGCATCGATATGAATATTGGGTTGAAGCGGTGATATCTTTTTTATTTGAATCATTTGATAGTTTTTAATAGAATTTATGCAAAAAATCAATAGAATTTCATTTGAAATGTTCTACTTGTTTCTTGAGCCATTTAGTTTGATAGAAAAAAGTCAATGGATTTTTTTTCTAAACGCATAATCTCTTGGGCGTAAATTTTTCAATTTTTTCGCTCCATTTTCATTTATTTCTCATAATAAAATTTGAAGAAAAAAAACAGAAAAATCAATATCTACATTTTTCTATAGACAAATATCTATTTAAAACCGCGAGTGACGTTGCATAATTTTTAATACAATTTGCGCAAAAAAAATAGAATCTTTAAATAGAATTGAAAGAATATTCAAACGTAATTCCACAAGTGGATAAAAATCCTTAAAAATTAATAAAAACTCTTGCCATCGAAAAACCTCAGAAACGTATCTCCCCTCAGATATCCAGCCAAAAAGCGGTTAACATTCAATAATAACAGATAACGTGATTGTACTCATACCACGTAGACGCACCTGGCTCGCCACTGGCTCGTTTGTTCCTCCCCCCACTGAGCCTCCTCCTGCACGTGTCTGTTCCCCCTGGCCATTGCATTCCCATTGTCCTTCCTTCCACTATTACTATTGTTGTACTTCCCATGGTTATTCAGCGTTATCGGTGGCTTGGCATTGCGTGCATTCGCCGTCTGCTGGGGAAACCTCTCGCCCAGACGATGCTCTAGGTCTTTCTGTATAGGCACTGGTATACGTGGGAAAAGGGTTGAGAACCACTCCAACTTGGTCAGGAACTGTTTCAGGATGTCACCCATCTTCATTACCTGACCTCCACCTGCTTTCACATCCATCTCCTCGTCGTCCTCGAGGTAATCGTCGTACCACATGAATAAATCAGCTGGTGGTTGTGTGTATCTGCGTGAAAACAGTAAATTTTCATTTGATTTTGCATAGATTTTTCTCAACAGACACATTTTCATGAGAAAATTCATTCAAATTCAAATTTACGTTGATTTTTAATCAATTTGATTAATGAGATGAACATTTAATTTGTTAGTCCCAACAGATTTAATAAGTAAAGGCAGACAGAAGAGAAGAGGTGAATCAATTTTAAACATTAAATATGTCTTCATAGAGTATTCTTCAACTCACCTAATGTACATAAACCCAAGTGCACGAATATAAGGTGAATCAGGATGATTAATGAGTCCATTAAGTTGTTTCCTAGTTAATCTCAACGTAAATAACTTGTAGAGTAGACAATAAGCCGTTGAAACAATGCCACCAGCTCCAACACCCCGTACCTGCATGAACCGCTAAAGTTACAACATCAATAGTTAATTAAATCACTTTCGCATAACATTATTCACTATCAACCGACAAAACTCTATTCTGCAATTGGTAAGTGACGTATTATCATCAAAACATCGAAATTCAAGCTGTTCATTAATGAATTCTCGTTAAATTAAGTTAATTTCCCGTGTCTTGTGAGAAGTTTAATGTTGCGATTGTGATAATTAACATATTTGTCTGCATTTCCTCTCGACAAGTGGGAATATGCTCGAGGAAATGACCGTAAAATGCAGACAAACGTGGGTGCAAAATTTATTCACTCGTATCGGCCTTTTTTTCATCGATAAAAAACATACTCACGCCTCCACACATTCCAGTCTGTCCAGCTGTCTTCCTGCTGCCCTTCTCCCAGGGCTCCAGGTGAGCAACTTTGTAGTAGATCTCGTCAATGACCTCGTGATAAGTCTTCAACTCGTAGAGATTAACTTTGAAGTAATGAGATGACAGGATATTTGTCAGAATGAGGGGATTCAAGTTCATGGTCCTCTCGTTGCCCCAGAGAGGCAAAACGTTTGACTTTTTACCCTCTTTGGCGTTTGGTCTTCGCTCCTCATCGCATCCACTTGAATTGTTCCAGGGTGAGCCTAACAGGTCAGGGAAATGTAGTCAGTATAAAGACCGGGGTGAACTGATTTTTTTTCTAGTGATTCACGTATAAAGAAGAAATTGATCCATGAATTCTTTCAATTATTTTTTTAATTAATAGCATCATTTTGGCACGCAGAATCATAAATTATTTATTACAAAAGTTTGACACTGATAATTTTCATATTGGGAATAGAATTTTTGTCAATTTCTCATGATTTTTTTAGGTTTATTCTAAATTTTAATCTTCTCTTCAAACTTCAAAAGTTCAGATTCGTAGAACTCTGCATTATTGTTGCATTTCTAGATCAATTATTAATGATACTTCGTTTAGAATTCAATCAGATATTAATCTTCAAAATTCAAGTTATGTTTATACTGCTTGAACATCACAGTATCAATGTCAGACTGTGCACCATCAAAGTGACACAGAAATATAGGTCAAGTGTTGGCAATCACCTCCATCTTCACCATCTCTAAAATTCTTTCAGAATTGTTCCAAAGAAAAACGAGGCATTTCTTCTTATTTAACATTTCAGGAATTACTGATTGAACCGGATTATATCTAGTCAGCACTCAAATTAATTAGGCGGAGAATTAATGCCTGAATTCAAAACCAGTAAAATAACAAAATGCATCAACAAAAATGTCCCCTCGAATGCTGCAATTCACTAACAAAACAAGATTTCTAGGTTAAACTCGCAGTGTCAACGTCGGACTGTCCACCATCAGAGCGACATGAATATATAGGTCAAGTGTTGGTAATTACCTCCGTCTCCACCTTCTCCATCTTGTCCCTGCATTTTTCGCCCCTCGAGCGGGAGATTTAGGACCGAAGTCGGTTTATTCTCGTGTCTTCACTCGAGACTGATTACCCAACTATCCTCTCCCAAGTCACATGGACGGACATCAGAACTCTGCCTCAGTATATTCAGGAAACTCACGTTTCTGTGGAGAAACTGCTTGTGGACCTTCGGGCTGTCACTGTCACTAGTTATCTTATTGCTTTATTAATGAAGAAACACTGATATTGTGCTTTGTCACGAGCGAAATGTGGGAACGCGACGCTTCGACGAAAAATTGACGTCAAGGCGATGGAAAACAGGTGAGACAGATCCCTAGGAGCGGTGTAGGGTCCCTATGCCCGCTCAGAGTCGTCCCTTGCGCATGCGTCAAGGTAAAACGACAACAGCGCCATTTTTTGAGGGTTTGAATTCCCTTATTTCACGTCCCGGCTAATGTCGGCGTTAAATAATTTTCTTTAAGTTCATAATGCAAAACAATACTTCTCCGGGAGTAATTGGCGAATGTCAGAGTGAAATAAATTTCCTTAATTTCATAACGGCAAAACAATACTCCTCCAAGAGTAATTGACGAATGTCAGAATGAAATAAATTTCCTTTATTTCATAATGACAAAACAATACTTCTCCGGGAGTAATTGGCGAATGTCAAAGTGAAATAAATTTCCTTAATTTCATAACGGCAAAACAATACTCCTCCAAGAGTAATTGACGAATGTCAGAATGAAATAAATTTCCTTTATTTCATAATGACAAAACAATACTTCTCCGGGAGTAATTGGCGAATGTCAAAGTGAAATAAATTTCCTTAATTTCATAACGGCAAAACAATACTCCTCCAAGAGTAATTGACGAATGTCAGAATGAAATAAATTTCCTTTATTTCATAATGACAAAACAATACTTCTCCGGGAGTAATTGGCTAATGTCAACGTGAAATAATTTTCTTCAAGTTCATAATGCAAAACAATACTTCTTCGGGAGTAATTGGCTAATTCCAGCATGAAATATAATAAGTAATGTCGCTCGAATATCATAAACATTGTTGACTTCGGAGAATAAACATGTGAAATATATGGTCATCTATTTATTCTGTTCGGTTGATTCCACTATTCAATATTCGTATTTTAAATTATCAGAGCAATACGGATCAATCCTGTTTTATCCCGTCATTTCAGGACACTATCCTCTCTCCATTCTCCTTTCTCGGTGATTCCCGGTTTCTAAAGAGTAATTGTACAGAGAAGGTCTATCCCCCATAAGCTATTTTTCATTATGCCATCAAATCAATAGATCAGGATCACTCGACAGTTTCATCAGTAGTAGCCGTAAGTAGTGCAAAAACTGAATAAGAACTCTTCACGATCTGTAAAAATCCCGAAGATAAATCCTGAATATTCAGATGCATAATTACTCGAACGAAGAAATTTCAGAGAAAAACCTAGTGTATTCTATAGAAAATTCGACAGAAAACCAATAGAATTTTCTATTGGTTTTTGGCCGATTCTATTGAAAAATTCAGCAGTTCATTTACGCGTTTGTTTTCGGTGAAAATGTTCAATGGAAAATGTTCTATTGAAAAAATTTATGACATTTAATTGTTATATAAAACTTATTCTGAGATATTTTCTATAGAAATTTCTCAACTCTAATTCTCAATTTTTTTGTTGGATTTGTTTAAATAAAAAAAAGACGAAAAATAGAGTGGAAAAAAAAGGTTTTTCCATTGGTTTTTTTTCGTGTATGTGATCTATTATTCAGTTGTTTACCATCAAGAAAGTCTCCATTGAAACCGCATAAAAACCGAGGGCCTTCAATTCGATGATTTGCTTAGCACGCATCAGGGCAATGATCATCAAATAACCTGCATGCGACATATTCGACTCTTTCTCCCAGCCCGACATCCACACACTGTCCGCTATTTTATTGCCCTGTGAGGATATTGTTTGCAGGAATATTAGTGGAAAAATATCGACGAGGAGAAGTAGATTTACCTCGTTTGACAGCATTTGTCCGAAGAAACAACAAGTCGCTAAATGAACGAATGCTGCGTTGAAGTATAGCATAAACTTGATTACATTTGTTGTTGATCTTTTCCCCTAAAAAATTAACTCAATGTATTGGAAGTGAAGTAGATGCACGAGACAAATTTCAGAAAAAAACTTGGAAAATTTCGGAAGAATTTAAAAATTCTATTGGATTTCTCTCGAACTTTTATTGGAATTTCTAATCGTTTTTCGACGATTCTATTCTAAAATTCCACAGCTGTTCTGCGCATTTTTTTTCATTAGGAATATTCAATAGAAAATATTTTTCTACTGAATTTCCTGTCGAAAAAAATCCGCTGTAGAGGCGCGGAATTTTGTAGTGAAATCGATGAAAATTAATAGAATTTTTACTAAAAGTTCCATAGAAATTTCTATTGAATTCCCGCAGATTTTCTAATGAATTTTGTTCATGCCTGATGAACTGGGGATTTACCAAAAGAATTTGAAAGCCAGTGAGACACATGATGAATGTACTAGACGAAAACTCTGCAAATATGTAATACCCAAAAACTCTATTCATATCTTTCATTATGACAATAATTCTCTGATGATGCTTGATACACGTCTCGAAGCGCCGCAAGAAGGAATCACTCTCTCTGGTGATCTCCGTTGGATGGAACAATACGAAACAATTGATTTTGCTCTCAAAATTGCTCATATACGTCAGCTTTCCAGCTGAAGACTCTTGATTGCTGCGTGAGTAGACTGGATCGCAGTGTCGAAAATTTGAATTAAGAATTTGCATCTGAAAGCTCGTCCATCTGCAGAAACCCCTCATCAGCCCATCCAGCGCGAACATGGCGGTGAAGTTGAAAATAGCTGTGATTATTTGCAAACCCAGAGCCATGTTGTGCTTCAAGTCGTCAGTGGTATCGAACGGATACTTTGATCTCAACGGCAGACTGGAATTTCCACCAGCAAATATTACGGGGGAAACGAGCATGGCACCGACCAGCTGAACTGCCATACCTGCCCAACCATATTCTATGACTTTTTCAACGTTTACGTGGAAATTCATGAGACCGTATACAGGTCCATCTGCGGGAAAATAAATTATGGATTGAGTGAATTTAAAAAAAAATTTTAATCTCAAGTTTTGGCTTGAAATGATTAATTTTTCACTCATAAACACTAGAAATATTGCTCGTTAATTGATAATTGATAGTCGAAAGTTGAAGATTTCAAACGCTTTTAAATCGCTGATGACGTCACAAGGGCGGTCGAACGCTGGACCAATCACAGGATGGCTCGAGCCAACCTAACCCAATCTTCACGTGCGCCGCATCCAATGGACGACGGCAACTCCCCTCTCTCCTCACTTCCGACCAATGGAGCGCTAGCCAACATTACTTATGCCACTTTGTGACGTCATGATCGAAATAATAGCTTCAAAAAACTTCTGATTGTCAATCAATTATTATAAAATATCTAGGCAAGATTCCTCCATAATTCTTTTCGTTTAACTATCTATGGGGTATGTAGAGCGGGTGAATAGGGAAATTATGAAATCCCTATTCTGAATAGTCATTATCCAGGGATGAAGTACCTTTTGCCATCACCATCGTGTCGATGGGGCCGTAAACCATATCGATGAGTCGTCGAATATCCTTCGGGTGTCGTTGGAAGACCACGACTTTCGCGATAACCGCTGAGAGCCCAGCTAGCATTGCCCCAGCGTCAGACATCGCGAACATGTCATCGGAATTGGAAATTATGTCCGCGGACATTGTCGCCGCGAGCGTCCAGAGAGAGCCCTTGGCGAGAAAACCGTAGATGCTGTAGAGGAATCGTTGGATGAAGAGGGGTGGATCCACTGCGCTCCAGATGCCTCCCACTCTACTCAAATAATTTTCCCTAATGTTAATTTTCAAAAAAATTAAAAAAATCACCGAATGAATCGAGTAATCATGGAGCCAAACCCAGCTCTACGTCTTTTTGGCCACGAAAAATAAAACGCGAAACGAATAATTAATTTTTTTCTGCTTGCCCCAAAAAATTTAGTAAACCCCAGGACAATTTTTCGAAGAATATTACACAATTATTGGTCATTTAAATGAAAATTTTGTCGATATCAACTATTTTATTGTACCTTCCCACCGTCAAAAGCATATTGAGGATCTCTCGATGCTCCGTCCGCAGCACCTCCATAGTATCCTCCCTTCACGACTTTCTCAATGCGCCCTGAGAACTCGCAATGGAATTAACTTCGGCGTAAACACCAATCGATACTTCAACTGCAGAAAATTGCATCGAAAGAAATGTGTAAAGACTCTAAATTACTCTCAATTGCAATTGTAATTAGTTTAATAGGAAGAAATATTGAATATTCCGGTAATTGGGGCTCATTCGCGAGAAGAATAGCACACGGGGTTTTCTCCATGTGTTGATTTCCCAGGGAATGTACTCGGTAAATAAAAGCGATACAAATCGAGTATTCAACCCTTCTTTCATCGAATCATTATGGATAATTTGCCGTACTTCCGGGCTGGGGGTGCCGAAACCCATCGGCAGTAGTCGAACAGCCATTGCAGCGGCAACATCTTTTAATTCTCTCTTCAAACGGATGTGAGCGAAAAAAATAATAGAATCGACGAGTTCCACAGAAAATACAAATGGAATTTTATGAGAAATTCTTTTCGTTTTTTTTGCTGATTATTACTGGAAATTGCGGAAATTTCACGCGCTAATAATATTCTTTTGAGATTTTTTCAAAAAAATTAGGATTCAAGTTTTCTGATTGAAGTTTTTGCTGCTGTATTTCACTGCTTGCTTTGTTTTTTATTCAAAAATGCGAGGAGGCAAAAACTCAGAACAACCTTGACTAATCAACTATAATTTTTTCAATAAAATGAAGGTGATGAAGTTGAACTGGACATTTACCAACACTAGACAAGGGGTTGCACCAAATTTTGATTGAGAAACGATGAATTGTACGAATTATCTTGGAGAATAGTCTGTGAAGGGCTTCGCGATCAACACTGACTACCTGGACAATTTGGCTTGGGCCATGGGAAATCTTTGTTGACTTTGTGTCGTCTTCCAAGTAAGCGATCTTTGCCACGCAATCACGTTTTTTTATCGTCGCAAATATTAGTCCAGACTTGTGAGGTATGCCGGACATAATGTATTCATTGATCACCTGTGTGTGAGGGTTTTTTTCCCTCTGTCAGTATCTGGAAAGGGGCCGGCAATGGGGTATTAGGGACACTTAACGTAATTAGTGAACATTCGGATTAATCTTATTCATTGGAAGAAGATCGAAATTTAGAAAAACCTAGCGCTTTCAGTAAGATAATAATTCCGTTAAATTTCTATCGGAACTCTATAAGAATTGTATTGAAAAATTCCATTTGTTTTTTGCGCCAATTCTATTGAAAATTATTCAACAAATAGAATTTTTCGAAATGGAATTCTCGTATGACTCTAAGAAAATAAACAATTACGTTTTTCTTCATCAATTTCGATTAAAAATTTGCGTTTTTAATACACATTTTTCGACAGAAAAAACTTGGAAACTTTCTATCGAAAAATAAAAATTCAACAAAGTAGATTTTTTCTCGTAGAATTTTGCTATAACTCTGACAGAATCACTTCTGTAATTCAAAATTTTTGCAATTCATCCCACGAAATTGCATTATAAATTAATGCAGGGAGCATGGAATAAAACAGGTAAAAAAATCAGGTCTTATTTGAGAAATGAAGAAAAATCAGGAAATCCCTCATCAATTGTTAATCAACTAAATCACTTTTTATTCATATTCATCTTAAAAGACGTGCGCAAATAGGCATTTACAACAACCACTTAAAATTTAATTATAAAATAAATAGTTACGAAATAATCTCGGTCACAACAGGTCATCACGTATAAAAAATGTATACAAACGAGTAAAGTCACGTACAAATAGGAATCTTACAAGTCCAATTGATCGATACGAAATTCGCCGACATCAGGAGGGGGTTCATACCTCATCTCCCCAGGTTCTTCGACCTCTCCCAATAAATTCAGTTCGTCAATTTGTGTTCTGAAGGTCCTAATCACAGGCTCTTCGTTCGCAACTTCGTAGCTGGAATCTTCAGATCTGAGATCTTCCCGAGAAACTTCTTCCTCCACACTTGTAACTGTCGGGTTGTGAATGATCGGGAGGAGTTCGTGAGTCTCGTCAATGTTTTTGGGACTCTCTTGTCTCTCTCGAGAGACCTCAATCGTCGCTAAATTTATGCTCTCGATCAAGGCTTGACTTGAGCCGGTGAAGCATCTGACGAACTCGATATTGTGGAGGTATTTGACGAGCTTGTCCAGACTCTCTGGGAGCCTGAGCTTTTTGAACAGTCTGGCCTCTTCTGGTATCTCATCAGAGGTGCAGTAAGGAAGTTCAACAGCAATGTAACGCTTATTCCTGTGCGAGTAATTCTCTTTGAGAAGCCTCAATGCGTGATTGTCGACGTTTCTGTAGATGACTGGCACCGACGCTGCACCGAGAGATGGTGACGCCAGGACTACTACAGTTTCGGCTGATTTAAAAGCCTCGTTGCACCAGTGGCCTGGGTCCTGTGAATGAAGCATTTGTTAAGGATATTTAAGTAGTTTGGCTATTTTTTTCCCCAGTGAAATGCTTTTCTACTTTTGTCATGATTTTATTATTTAAACTTTGCAGGTCTGATTTTTTTTGTTTAAAGTGCTTAAGGATGTTCTACACCCTTTCTGCCAAAATTCACGTTTTTTTAATTTTTCTGACAAACTTATGATGGAATTGACGTGAAAAAATATAACGTTTTTGAGTTTTGTCATTATTTAATGACTGACGAAATTTTAAGGTGGTGCGAACATTTTCCTGCGTTTTCTCTAAACTTTTAAAAAGAATCACAAAACTGTAGAAAAAACGCATGAAAATTATCGCACTACTACGCAACTTCGTGAGCCATTAAAGAATGACAAACCACAAAATCGTTAGATTTTTTCACGTCACTCCCATCGATAATTTGCCAGAAAAATGAACACAACGTCAATTTTGGCTAAAAGGGTGTCGAACATCCTTAAATCTATGAGATTTATTTACACTATCAGTAATGTTCTATTTATTTAATCTAAATATTTTCGCTTCTTGCAATCATTGATTTTAGGTATTTAGGTATTTAATTCAAGTATTTTAAGGATTTTTCTTTCAAGCAATTCAATTGACAAATTTAATAGAACAACTGGCACTTTCTCTAAGAAACTGTCTTTAATTCCTATTGCAGCTCAATCAGAATTCTATTTGAGTTCTCAACATCTATTAAAAATACGCGAGTACGTCGCACAATTTCTAACAGAACTGGTGCAAAAGACGAATAGAATTCTTCAATAGAATTTAATTCTAGTTTCTCTATTCAATTTTTTCACACGTGAAATTCTCGGGACACATTTTTCCTCCATGTAAAAAAGAAATATTCACCTTTGTGTCAGTCTCTGGGATGTCAAGAACGTCGACCATAGCCGCGACATTGCAAGACCTCAGGTACTTGGCTAAATTTGAGACAACATCCACATGCGCCATATGCGTGGGCGAGTAGACCAGAAGACACTTTGGCCTCCTGCCGATTTGCTTGAACAAATCTTTCTTCTTGGATAATTTGTACAAGTAATAAATTGCGTAGAGTATCACAGGGGGTATCCAAACAACGCTGATTATCATGATTAATATGCGTCTCGTTGGCTGTTTGACAGTGATAACAGGTAATGTGCTGTTTATGCAGCCCTGCTCATCACAATCTGGGTGCATCGCTGTCACGTAGACGTAATGTGCACCATCCAACATTGTGAAATTGTGCCTAATGTGGCCCTCTGAATTTAACAACTTGAGGTTTGTCACTTCTGATGCACCTGTGTCATTATTTATCACCCAGATACGGTAATCAGAGGTGTTGAATTTTTTGGGTATTGGCTGGATGTGCAAAGAGACTGCTGGGATGTCAGACACATCGATGTAGGCGAAGGGAATGTAATTTCTAACGTCATCTACCCGTTCACCTGCAGAATAATTCGTGAGAAAAAATTTGACAGAAAAACCTAGCGCTTTTTCTCAGAAATTCTACAAAATTCTATTAAAATATTCCACTTGTTTTTTGCGCCAATTCTATTTTGATTTATCTGTAGAAATTTTTGGGCGTAAATTTTCCACGTTTTTTTCCACTTGTTTTATTTACTTCTCATAGGAAAATGCGAGAAAAAAATTGGAAAAATCATGTCCGAGAATTCTTAATATCTGTGGGGGGATGTTGTATAGTTTTTAGTAGAATTGGCACAAAAAATAAATACAATCTTTCAGTACCATTTCCATCGATTTTTTTAGGAAATTTTTTTAGACTTTCTCGTTCTTAACTTGAAATTTATATGCAAATACTGCTATGAGAAAAATTGAAACCCATTTTTTTTTCTATCAAATATCCTAGACTCATCTTATTTCACTTTGCTACTGTTCCCATTATCCCTGAATATTTACCAATATGATGATGGCTGGGAACATTGAACAACAATTTCCTACTGTACTCGTAATTATCCCCGATGATTAAGTACTCAAACCAGTAGGATCGTTCTTCAAAAGTTGTCGTAGCAAAGGGACAAGACACGAATAAACTCGGTTTGACATCGGAATCATTCGATCCATGGAAATGTATATGTCGGCAGTAAGACGATGTCGAATCTCCACGCTCTTGATACCTCGTTACCAATCCTGAATCAATCAAGATGACATTCAGAGATATGAACTCCACACGAGAAAGACGAATTCAATTTCAACGTTTTGTTAAACATTGAATTATCGCTTTGAAAAAATTCCTGAGACATTTTTTTCACATCTCGAGGTGAACGGACCGTTTAAGGATATTAGGGCCACGGTGAATGCGCCAAAAAATTTTACAGAAAAACATAGCGAATTATTGGAAAGGTCTATAAGATTTCTGTTGAATTTCCATTGAATAACTTGGGAACTAAGGATACAACTTATTTTTTTGAGATATTTTCTGTAGAAATTCTTCGGCGTAATTTTTTTCTTCCATGTTCTCAATGAGAGGAAAAAAAATGGGTGAAAAGTCAGAAAATTTATGTTCTTTTTTACTTATTTTCCTGTGGAAATTAAATTAAATATGGAAAAAAATTAATTAAAATTATGTAATTTTTTCTTCTATCAAAAATTCTATTAATTTTCCGCAGCTCTTCTGCGTAAATTTTTTTTTTAGAAGAAATGTTCAATAAGAAATATTTTATAGAGAAAATTGATGGAATGAGATTGTTCTATGCAACTCATTCTACTAATTTTTCACCCCGCCACAATATCCTTAAAAATATCTTTGAATCATCCACTCAGGAATCTTTTTGTTCGTATGTATTCAACTCAAAATTTCAATTACTTCGGAATGTGATATCTCTAACAGTGAGATTAAAGGCAGTGGCTTTCGTTCCTCTCTCGTGATAAACGTAAGCAGAAATTTTCAAATCCACTAGTGGAACTCCGGGGGGTGGCAGCCGGCCCAACCCATGAAATTTCATGTTCATGCATTCTGAGTTATTCTGGATGGCAGTCAGAAGACACTCTCCATCGCCTGCGGTATTTCTCCCCTGGGATTCTATTGTACTCAGAGACTAAAAGCAATTATGAAATATCCGTCAAATGCACCCAGAAGAGGAAAGAGCGGGGGGGAAGGTGAGGTAAAATGGACCTTTTTTAAATAGGGGAATTATTGATTATTAATCAGGGGAATTATAAATAGGGGAATTATTATTATTTATTATTTGTTATTATTATTATTAATTCCCCTTAATTATTAATATCTCCTCATCAAAAACGTTGATTTCCCTCTTACAATTTTCAGTTATTGAGCATTAAAAATGGTTCATTTTACCCTGCACTGGAAAAAAAAAATATTTTCTTGAACCAAAAAAATCGCAAGTTAAAAATTACAAAAAAAATATAATCTAGTGCTGAGCATTTGCCATGCGTTCTGTTGAAAAATTATTGTCGCAAAAATAGATTTAGTTAAAAAAATTAAAAATTAAAAATTAAAAAAAATTGTAAAAAATTTAAAAAAAGTTTCGTTTTATGCGAAACAACGGACAGTCGTTTTTCCGTTCGGATATTATATATAATGACATAAGAAATAAAACCTTAATTAAATTTATAATAATATATTATGAAAGCAATATTATGATATGGTACAAATATATCGCTGTTGTTGGAAGCTGAGCGATTCATATTTAAAACTTTTAAATTCAAATAAAACAATTTCTTTTTCGGTAATTTTTAACTCGCGATTTTTTGGCTCAAACAAGACTTGTGTGAGAACTTCCAAGATTGTCTCTCAGTGTACTCTTCCCCGTAAATTTTTTTATGAATAAGATCTTTACGGTATTGTGACAGAACTGGGAGTAACAATGCGCAGTACATGCTCCAGGCCTCAGCACACACAGAACACCAAACAATGCACAAATGCGCTTCCACATTTTCGTGTGGTTATGCATCAACAGGTCATTGCAAACAAAAGAAGTCACATCACGTCGACTATCACTATCACTTGCTCATATTTTTGTACTCAATGCTCTTGATTTTGTCACATCATGAAACCTGTTTCAATACAGAACCAGAAGGTGGTCCTCACGATTTTGGAGAACAACTTGGAATAACTCACTGATGGTTATGATTATATGGTATCAGTCACTTGATCGGTCTCATCGAACACTATTGGATGTGATAGCGCCGAGCATATGTCATTTGTGGATTGAGAAATGGACTCCGGGAGGTGCATAGGAGTTGGAGTGGGGGTGGAATATCCAGTCGACGCGTTTGTGGCGCGAGGGTCGGTTCTATATTAGTTGAACTTTGTGTATGAATTTTATATGCATTTCATGGAAAGAATGGCACGAAGAAATTTCATTGAAAAACTTCGCTCTTTCTCTAACAAATTCTATTGAATCATTTATTGAATTTGTTTGCATCATTTCCATAGGAGATTATGCCACTTTACTGTGTCAATTATTAAGAGATATTTCATAGAAAAGGCAATAGATTGAGATTTTTCTATAGAAGCTCTTGGACGTAAATTTTTAAAGATTTTTCCACTGTATTTTCATCTGTTTCTCATAATAAAATCCACGAAAAAAGCTTGGGAAAATCGTGCCCAAGAATTCTTCTATTAAATGTTTTCACATGTGTTATTAAAAAATATAGTCACAGGGGGAAATTGCCTTCGTCACCAAATAAATGGAGATCTTTTTTCAAGAAAAATGTCCAAAGTATCGAACAAACAAAATCCGCAAAACTCTGAAAAAAAGTAACTCGCAAAACTGATTAAAACTAGTTTAAAAAAATAGTTTAGGTGACTTCGTTTTTAATTCTCACCGAGATACGTGGATTCTGAAATCGAGGAACTTGATTCCTGGAGACAAAGATAAAGATACGTTTTTTCAAATCAAGAATTTGAGTTACATTATTTCTAACGATTTTCTGAAACCAGTAAAATCCAATGAAAATAAATTTATTCAAAAATACTCCAACAAAAATCACTTCATTCGTTTCTGCTTAATCAAATGATTCCTCAAAGCAATCTGTTTATCCTTAAAAGACCTCTTCGTTTTAGACTTGATCTTGTGCTTGATCATCTGAAAGGCTTTCGTCTTCTTCTTCTCCCGATTGGTCTTACTGCAGAGAGGATTCTGCCGACCATCCTTGTACCCAAACTTCTCACGATCATCCCTCCCCTTCTTCACAGACTCGACCCGCGCATTCTTGTCGTGCTTCCTCTTCTTAAAAATATTCTCAATGTCTCCGAGTTTAACGAGCTCCCCGCGCGTCTCCTCCTGAGGCGGTCTCTTCACACCTCTCTTGGCATGCGTCACCTGCTGCTTCACCAGAGCAGTGTCAATCCTCTTGAAGTCCTCGTCAGTCAGTAGTCGATCCACCGATATCTGCGCAGCTTTCGCCTTCCGCTCAGCTGTTAACTCCACCTTCTTCGTCTTCTTCACCCTAGCTAGTCTCTCCACTTTCTCCCTCTTCCTGTCTAATTTCGTTCGCTTTTTGGCTTTCAGCAGCCTTCGCACTGCCTTGCCTGCGGGTTTCTCCCCTTTTTTGTCATCCCCGTCTTCCTCATCATCCTTTTCATCATCATTATCATCATCTTCATCATCATCACCACTTCCGCTCTCCTCGTTTTCATCTCCACTCACGTCTTCCTCGTCTTCATCATCTTCATCATCTTCATTATCCTCTCCCTCCTCACCAGAATGATTAACGTCGATCCATTTTCCATCCTCATCGTCATCATCATCGTCATCACTGTCGCTCTCACTGCCACCCCCCATGCCCTCATCCAAAAGCACATCAGCCCCAGGAATGTAATCCTTAGCAGCCACCTCCCCGTACTTAAGACTCTCAATAGCAACAGTGGCCTCAGTCGGCCTTCCCCTATCCTTCCTATGCAACAACTCCGGCATCGTCTGCCTGAACAACGATATAAGAGACCTAGCCGCCATCATGACACTCCTCTCCCTGTAGTTCTTGTACTGCGCCAGATCCCTGAGGAGGTCCTCATTCATAACCAGCGGACACCGCACGCAGATTTCTCGCACTGCGTTCAGTCCAATGGCCATAACGTCCGCCGAATTCCTCTCGGTCACGAAATTGTTCACAAGAGTCTTCAGGAGAGGTTCCAGAACGTCAGGAGGCACCAGCTCGTGCGACGATTGGGCGGCAAATTGCAGGAGTTTCGTCACCTCCCTCTGATGGGGCTGAAGAAACCTCTGAAGGTATGGGTAAAAATTCAGGAGAAACAGATTGTGAAGACCTATCAGTCGGGAGATTACGTCTAGAGTCATGAGTTTAATCTCGAATCTGTCGTTGTTCTTGTCCAACTGCTTGAAGAGCCTCTCCGCGAGGCCCTGAGGGTCGTGCACCAGGTGGAGGGCTGAAAAGTTAAACTGCGGGGCCTTCGATTTGTTCTTCTTCGATTTTACGAATAGCTGTTTCACCTTCTTCAGCTGCTTCTCTCGTTTCTTCGTCTTCTTGTTGACTTTATTCGCCATCATGACGTCTTTGACGTTGGGGGTGTCGTCCTCGGAGTCACTGTCGTCGGAGTTCTTGCCGTCTTCTGGGTCAGTACCCAGGAAGAACTTGAGACACGCCACCATGACCTTCGTGATCTTGGAGAAACAACCGGTTGCCAGGACGTTCACGGTCTTCGAGTCGTTCCAGACGTTCTTGTTGTAGAGCTCGATCATTATGTCGGCGGACATCTTGGCTGCTCGGGCGTTCGTGTCTTTCAGCATTGTGAACATGAAGTTTTGGAGGCTTGTGTTTACTTTAGTGTTTTTCTGCTTTGAGTTGATGCTTTTTATGTCGGTTATTATGTGGGTTTGGAGGAACTGGCGGAGGGCTTTGTCTTGGCATTTTAGGAGCTCGAAGAAGAGGCTCAGGAGGACTGTCGGCTCCAGGAGGCCTTTGTTCCGGAGGAGGATGAGAGTCTTGCAGAATGTCTGGGGAAGGAAATTCGGGGGATGAATTTTCGTTTAGATTCGATGCAGTTGGCAAGTGATGAAACGAGGGAATCGAGTCAGATTTTAAGACATCTCTGAGGATAAGGAACTGGTTGTTTATTTTTAGAGGAAAAATCCCTGAAATTTTGTACGAGAAACAAAAAGAATTTTCACTTATTCGCAGGATTTTTTGCTCGCTAGCTTTCGAATTGTAGAATTTTTACTGGTAAAAAGCTCTCGAAAAATCCAAAGAAAAGTTGTAGAACAGGTGTCATCGTCAACCCAGACATTCGTAAAAAACTGCAATTGATGCACCTCGTTTCATCCCCTACCGAACAGGAAATAATGAAGAAAAAATTTACCATTCGCATGTCATTGTCAAGAACAGTATTGTGCGTCTTCAGGATATCTACAATCTCTTGAGGATATGTTACCAGTTCGTCCGAGTAGCAGTGGGCGACCTTAAATGAATGAAACAAATTTTTTACTCAACGTACAAAACCATTTATTAGTAATAATGAAAAGTGATTAATAAACACAAAGCAAAATATCAAACTAAAAATGAAAAAATATGAGTGCGATCAATGGATCCTCAATGTAAAAATTGATTAATGAATGAAATCGTATAAATAATTTCTGACGCTGAACCCCACAGTTTTGGCAATAATAACGACAAAATCAAGATTGACACAGCATCTGAATTTAGGCTCATCGAGATTATTGTCCCCAACGACTGACAACAGTCCCAATTGGCACATAGTGGGAATTTGCGCTAATAAATTGGCATTGAGATCAACTTTTTCCTCAATAATAGCGCAAAATATGGCTAGCATTCTGTCTAGAGGGAAAGTTCTCGGTCCAACATGAGTATTCATAGTAATCGGTTTGTTCAGGGGCACAGTCCTCTTCCTCTTCTTAGCTTTACTACTCTGTTTCATAAACAGCCGTTTATCCTCCTTAGGTGGATTGTACGAGGCCAAGTAGGCAGCGATGAGCATGAATTTAGCGTAAAATGGCAGCTCAAAACTCAGAGCCAATTTCGTGGTGGATTCGATCTGCTGTGACAGCTCAGTCCTCTCTTTGAAGTCCTCAGTAGACACTCTGAGATAAATAACTTCAAGATTCGACTTCAAAACACTGGAAATGTTCCTCCAAAGTGTTGTGACATCATTCTCATCACACTGGCCTGATTTGACGGGCTCAATGTACTTGGAGAAGTTGATTTGGGCCATGTAACGAAGTTCATTGGTGTCTCGACAAAATCTGAAGAACACGGAGAGGAAGAGGTTCAAGTAATTCTGGTAAAAGCCATCTGTATACCCTTCGGGTTTGTACGCAAACAGAATCTCCATCATTTCGTCTTTAGTATACTGTGGAAAATGGACTCTTATCGGCTCAAACAGTCCCATCTTCACTCTGTACTTCTCCCAGATGATGTCTGAAATGAAAATAGTGGAGATGTTGACGCCAGACAGCTCTCGAAGCCTCAAGAGAGCTGGCAGAAGGTTCATGTCCATGTCTCTCATCCTGTCGCACTTGTCAAAGACAATTATCATGGGACTTGCAGGATTTTTACTCGAGATCTGACGTAAGTTGTCGATGAAATCCATCAAATTGTCGCATTTGTGAGCCCCTTTGAAATTATTTTCACTCTTCAACTCGTAGGAACTGAGGTCCTGCAGTATGTAATCAAACATGTGGCGAGTGTTGTTGTGCTCAATGCAGTTTATCATAGAGTAGTTGTAGTTGAAATGCTCTAGGAGGGACTCCACGACTAGGGACTTGCCTGTGGCTATGTGACCGTAAACAAAGATGCTGTGGGGCAGGGGCTCCTCGGGAACCCCCAGCAGGGAGTACAGTTCTTTCAACACGTCATCACGACACACTATTTTCGTTTTCAGTTGCTTCAGGTGTTTCTCCATTTTTAGGGCTCAATCAAACTATGTTCTATTGTTTTTTATTAAATCTAGTGGGCTTTAGTTTTAGGGAAAATACTCGGGTTTTCGTTATACCTGGAAGGAAAATAGATCACTTGAGATGGTTTCTATTTGTTAAGGGGGCTGGAGATGTCTACCTGGGCTATGAACATGAGGAGTTCATCGAGACTCTTGTTGAACTTGTCGGGGGTCAGGCGAAATACTTCCAATGTCGATTTGTAGTGATTGTACTGCTGGGAGAACTGGAAGAGAATTTTAATTCTTGTTGTTATTGAATGAGGGAAAAATGAGATTTGTTTTTTGGAATATTTATGACTCTTTCGCAATACTGAGGCGGTGGGTTTTTTATTCAGTTTGTGATGTAGAAAAGGCGTAAATTTTACAAATTTTTTAATAAAATCGAAAAAATGAAAATAAAGTAATCATTAAAATTATAAAATCAATGAAAATAAAATAATAATAACATAATAAAATCGAAGAAAAAACTTGGAAAATTCATGCCCAAGAATTCTTACAGGAAAAATTCCAACAGAATAAATTATGCAGAAAAATCAACAAATATCTATTTAAAAATACGAGGGGACAGCATAATTTTAGAATAATAAAAAAGTAATTGGATTTTTCAATAGAATTTCTTAGAAAAAGCCCTGGATTTTTTTAAAAATTTTTCAGACGTGAATCTTGTCTTTTTTGATTGATAGATGCTATTCTTCGATAATTACCTCTTCTTTGTAGGATTCAGGATCACGTTTTATGAGATTCTGCAGCTGTGGAAGATTGTCCGGCAGTTGATTGTTGTGTCGAACCATTTTTTACAATTTCAAATGATCTGTAAATGTAAACGAAGTGAGTGATGCCAGTACTTGAGGTTATGTCATCATTTTCTACATTAGATGTTGTTAATACGATGCATGTGGCCCGATAAATCCATTATAAATACCATTTAGGGTAATTTTTGTGAACCTACGATGCTCCAAAATCACCAGAAACAATTATTTGTATTTTATATTGCTGGATATTACGAGAGAAGACAGAAGCACACGTGCACAGCACAAGTGCATTCACAATTTGCCACCTCCACCGTTAAATTAGCGACGCGCAAGCGCAGTACACATAACGAGCGACACGCATAACTTTTAGGAAATGAAAGAAAATAAGGTAAACTATTTTTCATTCAATTTTGCAAATGTTCATGACTCCGAAATTCATTACATATTATTTAATAATAATTTAATTTAATTATTTTCAATTATTTTAATAATAATAATAATAATTGTTATTATTATTTTCATTTTAATAATTATTATTATTTCCCAATATCCTATAAATTTTTCATAAGCTTCAAAATCAAAATTTCCACTAATAGTGAGATTAGGTATTAATTCTATGGAATAATTACCAAAGACAAATGGAATTTTCCAACGAATTTCCTCACGAATAACATAGTAAAATACAGAATTAAATAATTATCAACCCAAAACGGAGCGTATAAATGCATATTTATTCATAATCCTACAATGCCTATCATCTGTACACAATCGAAAAAATGTAAAGATATTCTCCGCCAACAACGAGAATATTTATAAAAAAAAATAATCCACATGAATAATCTACATGAAGTATCTGCCTCCGAGACTGAGAACACAAAATGAATCATTGATAATAAACGAAACTAAATTCATAAAAACTCATATGCCAAAACTGGAGATTCCGCCTGTGCATCGTGTGATGTTGACCATTGAGGCTGATTCAATACTGAAGTGTCCTAGTAAACCATGGCCAGAACGTTCAATCACTTGCATATTCCTCTAATGTATAAATCCCATAATTAACTCGTCGACGTTCACCAGTCAAGATCACCAGGTAGTTCATCAGGATAGTCTCCGGTGAGGCATGCCGTGCAGTGTCCAATGTAGCTGCTCTCCCTGTTATCCATTTTATGCCTGACAGCCTGGACCAGTCCATCAACCGACAGATAAATGAGTGAGTCTGCACCCACGTGTTTAGCTAATTTCACACTGTCCAATCGATTGGCAATTAGTTCCTCTCGCGTGGGAATGTTGATCCCCATGTAGCAGGGATACTTGAGAGGAGGTGATGCCACCCTGACGTGCACCTCCTTCGCCCCGGCGTCTCGCAACAACTTGATGATCGGTCCAATGGTGTTGCCCCTGACAATGGAATCATCGATGAGAATGAGCTTCTTCCCTCTGACGTTCTCAGAGAGGGCTCCAAACTTCTTCGCCACCCCCAGCTGTCGCAGTCTGGTGCTGGGTTGAATGAATGTTCTTCCTACGTATCGATTTTTACAGAGAACTTCAGCGAAGGGGATTTTTGATTGCCTCGCGTAGCCGTGAGCTGCTGCAGTTCCAGATTCAGGCACAGAACTCACGATGTCTGCTTCTACTGGAGACTCCAGAGCCAGCATTCTGCCACACTGCATACGTACTGAGTACACCATTTGTCCTGGGGTAATAGCAAGAATTTTGGTCAACTGGGGGTTGAACATCAATTTTAAATTCTCGTTGACATTTTCAAAAACAAAATTACAATGAAAAGCAGAATTTTTAGAATCTTTCACTTCTCCACTGCAATTATTCTCATTATTTTCGCATGAATAAAGAGTAATTACCTTCGAAAATATTGTGAAGAGTATCAGAAATGTATTTTTTCTACAAAACATTTTCCAAAACAAAATAACAATTATAGCTCAAATTTTGAGAATCATCCACTTCTCTCCTACGAGTATTCTCATAATTTGGTTAGATAAAGACCATCAAATATAAATAAATAAATTGGATAAATAAATTACCTTCAAAAATACTGTCACTCCGTGCAAAATAGACATACTCGAATATACAAAATGCCTGAGGCCTCTTATCCGGCCTCTCCACGATGTCTATCGTCTTTATTCCCTCACGAGTCAACTCAACAATTTCACCTGGGAAAACTTCTCGCACATAACGAGCACCAATACTCAAAAATCCACAGGATTCCGAGGATATCACCCAGCCCTCTGCATCGTCGTCGTCCTCAGACTCGTTTCCAGCTGGACAAAATAAAACACTCGATTCACGATTCATTTCACGAGTTCTGTGAATGATGATAATTGATTTTGCATTCGATAATTACCGAGCTTGCCTATCGGCACTATTTTCCCGAGACACAGGGGGCGATTGCCGTAGGGGTCCCTCACCCCGTAAATTTTATCCCTCTGCATGATAACTAGGGAATAGGAGAGGGGAGCAAGCTGCATGAGATGCTTGATACGTGCTGGCCAGTCTGGGCCGTTCACCTCTCCCTCTGGAGGGTTCAGGCACAGTGCTTGTGTTATTAATTCAGAGTCTGAGTGAGTACTCAGGCCAACACCTCTTCCAAGTACCTAAAAATTGTAAAAGTTAAAATAGAATCACGAAAAATTAATCGATAAAACGTGATTGATTTTAACAAATAATTTACCGAGAACATTTTTTGGAGAAAATATTCCAACGATTCATTTTACTAAATATTGAAAAACATTAAAAATGAGTTTAAAAAACAGCAGAGTATCTCATAAAATTGATTAAATTTTTTGTTGGAAATTTTCTAATGATTTTCTCCTAAAGCCATTCGTTCTCAAATGCATAATTAACAGAAAGATCGAAAATGTCTTTAAAAAAAAACAAATTGTTGGAAATTTTAACTCATCTCTGACGTAAAAGAATAATTATCAAATCAGAAAAATGCCTCGACGATTTTTCCTCTCATTTATTCACCTACCATTTTTCGCAGAGATTCCGTATTTACAAGCTCTCCATTATGAGCCACAGCCAAGGCTCCATGTGCAGTGTGAACAACAAACGGTTGACAATTAACTTCCTCACTGGCTGCACTGGTGCTGTACCTCGTGTGACCAATTCCCAAATTGCCTTTCAATTTTTTCATACTTTGGTCGTTGAATATATTATTAATCATTCCCATTCCCTTGTGGACGTGGAATGATTTGGCACACACCCCCTCACTTGTGACTATTCCAGCACTTTCTTGGCCTCTGTGCTGCAGGGCCACAAGTCCTGGCGATCAAAACCGAAAATTGATGTCACGCAGGGAAAAATTGCGCAGAAAAAGACGACAAATTCGTTGGGAAATTCGATTGTATTTCCGTTGGCAACTCTACTAATTGTTCTGCTGAACATGTTTTGTGAAGAATGTTCGAAAAGAATTATTTTAAGAAAAAATCGTCAAATATTTTCTGAAGAAATTTCTCGATATGAATTTTTCGAGTTTTTTCACTCAATTTTTCTCAATCTCTCACGAAAAAAATCAAACGAAAAACCTCGGGGTGAGGAATTTCAACAGGAAATATCCCAATAGACTAACTTGTGTAGATAAATCAGTTTCTATTGGGAAAACGTGTGAAAAAATTAACGTTTTCTACTAAACGCAGGGAAAAAAATCCGTTCTTTAATACGTTTCATAGAAAAATACGAAAAATATTAAATTCATATTTTGATCTCTCAGGTCGCATACCAAGACAAACGACTTGTCCAACATCAATCGTGGACGGCCAATCCCCAGCGGCGATGCACCCGAAAACCCCGCACTCATGCGTCAACCCCGACGCTTTCTGCCCCCTAGTTTCTCCCTTGCTCCTCGGTAGGCTCTCCCCCGCATCCACAACTGCCAAACGTGACATTGCCTCTGAGCATGCCTCAGTATCTTCCATCGTGATGTTGCAAGACCCCTTATCTTCATTCGTAAAACATAACAATATCGAAAATGCTGAATTTTTACCGAGATAAACCTCACTCCACCACTCGTCAGGGCAGTTTCTGTATCTCACAACGATTAACACATATCCCGTTGAAAATCCGAATAATCTGATGACGAAATTTGGGGTCAAAGAACCAACTGGCAAATTACAAAATTCCGCTCTCATTCGATTTCATACAATGAGAAAATAATTTATTTCAGATCATTTTCAGTCATGTTTATGACGCTGTGAGGCTGCAATATTTATGCAACATTTATTCAATGATGGAACAAAAAACCATCACAGAATAATCACAAAATCAGTGAAATAGAGAAAAATATTGGGAAATAATTTTTTTTAAATTCAACGAAAATCTGCTCCGAATTTTTTCGGAGCAAGCGTCAGTGGCTGGGACGCACGTGCCTCCACGCCGCTCCGAAATTACTACGCAAAATTCGGAGCGTCAAATAATTTTCACAGACTGGAAAACAATTTTTTAGCGTAATTAAACCGAAGGGATCGATCAACAGCGGATGCTCCAAAGTAAAAATGAGCGATTAAGGGACGATTCCGGGGGGAAAGAGGCTATTTTTGACAGAAACTGTACCGACTTGTTAAATGGCCCAAAATCCAAGGTCAAATAAAAACCTGATTTATTACCTGTTTCGGGAGACTCTTCCGTCGTTGTCGGTCCAATGTCCCAGCGTAATTAATAAATATTCGATACTGAATAACTAGAGGGAGAGGGAATCAGAGAGAGAGAGAGGAGAGAGAGAGAGAGAGAGAGTGTGTCAGACGACGAAACCACGTGCGCCCTCGAACTATTCAGGAAATAAAATAGAGTAACGAAGGGCTCCGGGCAACGTGTTCACGCATCGCGTGGCGTCTAACGAATGAGTGAGGATTGAGGAATGAGTACGGACTTTTGACTAGACCTCCGGACGATATTCCCATCGCTCTTTACTCGCCAGTCTTTTCCACCCGCTCTGCTCATTCCATCGTCAGCATCCAACCGATTGATGTGAAAATAAATGATAAGAATGAGGAATTAATCGGCAGTTATTTCGAAATATCCGAGTGCGTGGGAGTTTCCATCGGCAAACGATTAATCTATTTGTTTTTTGGATTATTTATTTGTCTTGTTTTGACAAACAGTCCGATGTTTGTTGAGCCCCCTCGAAGATGTCAGGAGGTGATTTACGGAATGTTAACGCATCTTCGAGGGGGATTTAATGAAAAATATTAATATCAGTTGAGGTGTGGTGGGGGTGGACGATAACAAATATGTTTTTCGACCAATTGGAGTTTGAGGGGCTTTTTCACGTGGTGGGGAAGCGCTGGGGATCGGGTGGGTAATAGTTGGAGCGCTCGGGAGACCGACCGCATTTATCGTTGAGGTTTATTTCAGGGGAGATTGATTAACCATGTCAGGTAATTTGTCGTCAGTTAATTAATTGTTAATTGGTGGGAATAGCTTATTAATTGAGCTTTGGATGGAGTCGATATTTTGGGAGATTGGGGTTTGCTTGGGGAAATTGCTAAGCATTTTTCGAGAGCACGCTTTCCTGCTCGGACTGTACATCCGTGAGTTTGTAAGCATCTTTAATCTTTCGATATCGCCTTACATGTGTGCGGATTGATATTCAGTGGGTTATTGGGATGACGAAAAAACCTGTTAATTTGCTCGGGGCATTCAAGGTTTTTCGTGTACACGGGTGAAAAAATTGAACATGAAAAATAGCGATTGCTTCAAGAAATTCGATTGAATTTCGATTCTGAATTAAGGTATATCCCCAGAGAACAGGCTTTCCTTACGATTGTCCCCATGATTTTCATGGATAATGTTTATAATATTCTCCAGCTATTGAAAAAAATTCCAACTAGTTGCCATACACAGTTTAGTTTTAGGAGATAATAAATAATGAAATGCGAGCTTCGAGCACGCGAGGCCTAGGCCAATTGACGGGACTATGGATCCTCCCGAACTCGATTTTTTCATCTTATGAGAAGAAGGTTCTTACGTGTGAGCCAGGGAATTTTTAGTTAAATTGTATAGTGCATAGCTTCTACGATATTCAACTTTAAAAAATTGTAAATTTCGTGAACTCATTTGTTATTTGATTCAAAGAATTAATTAGCAAATAATGTTTTACATATGAGGACAGCAAAACTCAATTCTCAAATTGTGAGAATGCAATTAATTAAGCCATTTAGATTTTTTCCGGAATATACCTTAAAGATTTAAAAGACGTATACGAAACAAAAAAAATGATTTGCTCGGGATTTAATACGAGTGGGTATTGAATTTCTATCGAAACATTCTATTTGTTTTTTGCGTCAATTCTATTAAAAATTGTGCAACGTCTCCCCGCATTTTAGTATAGATATTTGTTCACAGAAAAATATTTATAAATGTTGATTTTTCTGTATAATTTATCCTGTTGGAATTTTTTCCTCAAGAAGTTTCAGTTAGTAATTATTCTTAATTATTTCTCAAATGAAAATACAATGGAAAATTTTTTGGCAATTTACGGCCAAGAATTTCTGTAGAAAAATAAAAATCTAATGACTCTTTGCAGTTTACAAAATTGGAAAATTGATAATCGAAGGCAAGACCAAACAGGTCTTCGAGCTTCTGGAGGATCCGACGTTATGTCTCTTGCAGAGCAAAGACAGAATCACCGCTGGGGATGGAGTGAAATCTCACGAGTTGGCTGGCAAGGCAGCGATCAGCACAGCCACCACTGCCAAAGTATTTGAGTTATTGAATCAGGCTGGATTGAGAACTGCTTTTGTTAAGGTCGCAGGGGAGACCTCATTTATCGCGAAAAAATGTGAAATGGTGCCTATTGAGTGGGTGACTAGACGATTGGCGACCGGAAGTTTCGTGAAAAGACATACTGGTATGAGGATTTCACAATTTTAGAGAATACACGAAAAAACTAGAAAAATTATATAATAAAAATCAATAATAATATTGGATTTTTATTGAATTTCTATTAGAAATTCTGGTACTTTGTCGCCGATCGAAAAATTCCGCAACTTTTCTGCACGTTTTTTTCGATAAAATCAATAGAATTTGATTTTTCTATAACACTTATTCTATTGAAATATTTTTTAGAGAAATTCATCAGCTCAAAGCTTTTTGCTTGATTTTCTCAATGAGAGGAGAACAAAATAGAGTGAATTCGCTTGATAATTCTATTGAATTGCCATTGGAAACTCTATTAATTCGTCACTGATTGAAAAATTCCGTTTCGGAGAATATTTTATCGCGAAAGTCAGATTTTTTTATGTACAACTTACTCTATTGAGATATTTTCTATAGAAATTTCTTGGCTCAAATTTTTCGAGTTTTGTCGCTTGATTTTTTGTGTGAAGAGAAAAAAATTAAGTGAAAAAAACTTAAGTGAAAATTTATGTCGAGGAATTCCTACAGAAAATGCCTCAATAGAAATTCAGTATTTCTTCTGTGGAATTTTTTCTCTGGGGTGTTCATCAGAATAAAAAATTCGATTAAGAATATTTTCTGATTTCAATGGTTCAGGTGTCCCAGAGGGCTTTCGTTTCAATCCACCTCTTCAGGAGACATTCTTCAAGGACGATGCAAACCACGATCCCCAGTGGTCGGCCCAGCAAATTGTCTCCGCTAATTTCAAGCTCAATGGTGTGACAATTGGCCAAGACGAGTACGACATCATGAACCGCACGACTCTGGCTGTTTTCGAAGTGTTGGAGAGAGCCTGGGCCACTCGGGACTGTGCGTTGATCGACATGAAAATTGAATTCGGTATTGATGCTACTGGGGAGATTCTAGTTGCTGATATTATTGACAGTGACTCCTGGAGGCTCTGGCCGTCCGGTGACAAGAGGCTCATGAAGGACAAGCAGGTAGATTAATCATACGGATTATTTAAATTGAATAAACTTTACTTCGTTTTTAAAATTGTCTTTTCAATTTCAACAGCATCCCTGGATATAAATAGTCTGTTGCGATCCACCAACAACTAATGGGTTATTAAGAATAAATTGTTGCTCCATGTTCTTTTTAATCTTCTATTTTTAATCATCAAATTTGTCAATTAAATTGCGCGAGAAAAATTTGGAAAAAAGTCATGAATATTCACGCATTGCACGGAATTATTATTTTTTAATATATTCATTGTTCATAAATAAATAGTTGAAATTGTTTAAACTTTTGGAGACCTAATTTTTTTCGGCATAAATTCGATTTCTGGTAAAATTCTGAATATGAATAATTTTTTTACGTTTCCGAAAAAATGTTTTTTGTGGTGGAAAATTAACTGTTTATAAATTTTTAAATTATTCCATTAATCTTTCTCCAAAAGTGACCTTCGTAATTTTTTTTCAGATTTTCGCTTGAGAAAAAATAGCCAAAGAGCTTGGATATCCCTAATGCGAAATTTCCTCTGCATAAACGATATCAGGGAAATATTCATCATTCATAATTAAATAATATTGATTAATTCTCATTAGGTATACAGAAATCTGACGACAGTGACAGATGCCGATCTGAACACAGTGAAACGTAACTTCGAATGGGTGGCAAATCAGCTGGACTACCTAGTTCCCCCGGCGAGTTCAAAGATAGTAATCTTCATGGGGTCACCATCAGACGAAGAGCATTGCAATAAAATCGCGCGATTTGCAGCTGCCCTAGGCCTAAAAGCTGAATTGCGCGTTACGAGTGCCCACAAGGCCACAGCGGAGACTCTAAAAATTCTCTCCGAGTACGAGGGAACCGGGGAAAAGGTCAGAATTTATGTTAATGTGGGTGAAAACATGTGACTGATACGGGATATCGAGAGCAGTAAACATTGGGAAATGACGCCAGAGAGATTATTTGTCACAACGATATCTGAATTTTCACTCTTTTTATTAATTTCGCAACTTTATCGTGTCACTTAGGTGGTGCTGGTGGCTGTCGCCGGTCGATCCAATGGTCTGGGTCCAGTACTTTCTGGTAACACAGCTCTGCCGGTCATCAATTGTCCACCCGTCAAGCCTGATAACGTCGCACAGGATGTTTGGTCTTCGTTGAATGTGCCATCAGGTACGTGTTTCAGTCGGTTATTCATTTCGAAAATTATGTTATTGGGCTTTCACAATGTCAAAGTAGGAGATGTTCTACTTGACTGGGATTGATCGAGGTCAGTTCGACGAGGTGGGGATTTAATCAACATGAATTATCAATTTTTGACATTGACAAGTGTTTTTTTAACCTTCACTTTGCAGTGGAATATTTTTTTACCCAATTGATTGATTATTCAGTTGGATCAAAAATACAATCGCAAAGATAAAATTGTAGAAAATGGGAATTTGCGACGCTAAACAACATTTTGTGTTGCATTTAGTTGAACTTTATGAATCCCAGTGAAATGAAACTAGCTTTTTATGTAGTTAGAAGAAAATGAAAAAAAGAATCCGCACTCTACAAATTCTCTTGAAATTTAATGGAAAAAATCCATTTGTTTTTTTTGCGCAGATGTCTATTGAAAATACTAATATGTACAAAAACTAATATTAAAAGGCTAACATTGAGAAATGCAGGCGGAGGTTGAATAATTTTCAATAAAATTAGAGCAAAAATCTGATAGAATCTCCCAATGGAATTCCTGTAGAGTCCCAATAAAAATTCAGTAGAATTTCTTACAGAAAGTACTAGGTAATTTTTTATTTTTTTTGCAAGAAAAATTTCCTTGAATAACCCCTTGCACCTCAGCTATATTCACTATAATCAATTTTTTAGGTCTCGGTTGTACTACAGTACTCTACCCCGAGAGTGCAGCCCTCGCAGCCGCCCAAATTCACGCCCTCCACGACCACCTCGTCTGGTCTCGTCTCCGTGTCAAGCAACTCACCAACTTCATAACTTTGAAACAAGCTGACATCAAACTCCGAAACTAATGTTTCTCCCATTGCTGATCCAAACAATCGTGACAGATGTTGATTGTCGCACTAATTGTCTACGCCCTACTGCTTCTACTCCTGGTGATACTCTATTGGATACAAATCTACAACATTCGAATATTTCCTACGAAGCAACTATTCGAGTAACTGTTCGTGTTTAACAATGGAATTGCATTCCACTAGATAATTGTCGCCGTTATTATTTTTTTATGAATAAAAAATTATCTACAGATATGTCAATTTTATATTTTTTACAGTAATCATGATTTATTCAACTTCATGAGAGATTCAATGTCTGATATTTCTTTCGGACAGGGCTCTGTCAGCACTACAGGACCACTAGCAGTTATTAAGACATCGTCTTCTATTCGTATTCCAAGACCACAGAATTCTGGTGGTGCCAGCTTATTTTTTGAGTTCACGTAAACACCTGAAATTGATTAATGAATGAGAATTTGCAGTTATAAATTAACAATTCATTGAACTTGGTAAATTTTAAAATTAGGCCGTGACTATTCGCACCATTGCGTGAATCACTCCCGTACACTCCATACACTCCACGCATGCGTGAAGTTTGTGTGTTTCACGCAGCCGAATTTTCATACTGCTGTGTATTTCACGCAGTTGAAGTTTCATTTTCAATTGAAGGCCCGAGTTTGTAGCAAAGATGTCAGACAAGATATGAATGTTTTTTTGGAGCTCAAACGAAAGAGCGGGTCGAGAAATGCGTGCTAGGACCTCTAAAGATGGTGTTGAACCAGGGGAGACTCCTAGACACCCACTGGACAATGTTGTCACAATTGCACTTTTCAATTGAAAACAGACATCATCTTTAGAGAGATTTGTCATCTTTAAAGACTTCTGCACGCCATTTCTCGACCCGCTCTTTCATTTGAGCCAAAAAAAACATTCATATCTTGTCTGACATCTCTGCTACAAACTCTGGTCATCAACTCTGGTTTTCAGTGGAAATTGGAATTGTTAATTTACACAATAATAGGAGTGCATTGACGATTTTTTCTTAACTCGCAAAAATCTTCAAACAATTTGCTACCGATTGGTGATAAAATTTTTTGGAAATAATGAAGTGGGAGGGATAACGCCTTTTTTTTCAGGTGAGATTTTTCAAAAAATTATTTTAAAAAAAGTCCTAACTAGCGAATGTTTTTTATTAGCTCGCAATTTTTTTCAAAACTACTTCAATGAGGAAAAAAATAAAAATTTGGAATATCTATACATGAGGGGCTAATTGATCGGATCTCATAGTTTCCGAGATAATCGCGAAAAACGAAAGTGCCAAAAAAAATTAATTTAATTCATCTTGTATAAGGCCTAGGAAGTGGAAAAACGCAATTCTGAGCCGTCCATCTGCCTATACGGAACCCAAATTTCCTCAGGAATCGAATGGAATAGGTTTTAAGGCTCTATCTCTCATAGTTTCCGAGATAATCGCGAAAAACGAAAGTGCCAAAAAAAATTAATTTAATTCATCTTGTATAGGGTGTAGGAAGTGGAAAAACGCAATTCTGAGCCGTCCATCTGCCTATACGGAACCCAAATTTCCTCAGGAATCGAATGGAATAGGTTTTAAGGCTCTATCTCTCATAGTTTCCGAGATAATCGCGAAAAACGAAAGTGCCAAAAAAAATTAATTTAATTCATCTTGTATAGGGTGTAGGAAGTGGAAAAACGCAATTCTGAGCCGTCCATCTGCCTATACGGAACCCAAATTTCCTCAGGAATCGAATGGAATAGGTTTTAAGGCTCTATCTCTCATAGTTTCCGAGATAATCGCGAAAAACGAAAGTGCCAAAAAAAATTAATTTAATTCATCTTGTATAGGGTGTAGGAAGTGGAAAAACGCAATTCTGAGCCGTCCATCTGCCTATACGGAACCCAAATTTCCTCAGGAATCGAATGGAATAGGTTTTAAGGCTCTATCTCTCATAGTTTCCGAGATAATCGCGAAAAACGAAAGTGCCAAAAAAAATTAATTTAATTCATCTTGTATAGGGTGTAGGAAGTGGAAAAACGCAATTCTGAGCCGTCCATCTGCCTATACGGAACCCAAATTTCCTCAGGAATCGAATGGAATAGGTTTTAAGGCTCTATCTCTCATAGTTTCCGAGATAATCGCGAAAAACGAAAGTGCCAAAAAAAATTAATTTAATTCATCTTGTATAGGGTGTAGGAAGTGGAAAAACGCAATTCTGAGCCGTCCATCTGCCTATACGGAACCCAAATTTCCTCAGGAATCGAATGGAATAGGTTTTAAGGCTCTATCTCTCATAGTTTCCGAGATAATCGCGAAAAACGAAAGTGCCAAAAAAAATTAATTTAATTCATCTTGTATAGGGTGTAGGAAGTGGAAAAACGCAATTCTGAGCCGTCCATCTGCCTATACGGAACCCAAATTTCCTCAGGAATCGAATGGAATAGGTTTTAAGGCTCTATCTCTCATAGTTTCCGAGATAATCGCGAAAAACGAAAGTGCCAAAAAAAATTAATTTAATTCATCTTGTATAGGGTGTAGGAAGTGGAAAAACGCAATTCTGAGCCGTCCATCTGCCTATACGGAACCCAAATTTCCTCAGGAATCGAATGGAATAGGTTTTAAGGCTCTATCTCTCATAGTTTCCGAGATAATCGCGAAAAACGAAAGTGCCAAAAAAAATTAATTTAATTCATCTTGTATAGGGTGTAGGAAGTGGAAAAACGCAATTCTGAGCCGTCCATCTGCCTATACGGAACCCAAATTTCCTCAGGAATCGAATGGAATAGGTTTTAAGGCTCTATCTCTCATAGTTTCCGAGATAATCGCGAAAAACGAAAGTGCCAAAAAAAATTAATTTAATTCATCTTGTATAGGGTGTAGGAAGTGGAAAAACGCAATTCTGAGCCGTCCATCTGCCTATACGGAACCCAAATTTCCTCAGGAATCGAATGGAATAGGTTTTAAGGCTCTATCTCTCATAGTTTCCGAGATAATCGCGAAAAACGAAAGTGCCAAAAAAAATTAATTTAATTCATCTTGTATAGGGTGTAGGAAGTGGAAAAACGCAATTCTGAGCCGTCCATCTGCCTATACGGAACCCAAATTTCCTCAGGAATCGAATGGAATAGGTTTTAAGGCTCTATCTCTCATAGTTTCCGAGATAATCGCGAAAAACGAAAGTGCCAAAAAAAATTAATTTAATTCATCTTGTATAGGGTGTAGGAAGTGGAAAAACGCAATTCTGAGCCGTCCATCTGCCTATACGGAACCCAAATTTCCTCAGGAATCGAATGGAATAGGTTTTAAGGCTCTATCTCTCATAGTTTCCGAGATAATCGCGAAAAACGAAAGTGCCAAAAAAAATTAATTTAATTCATCTTGTATAGGGTGTAGGAAGTGGAAAAACGCAATTCTGAGCCGTCCATCTGCCTATACGGAACCCAAATTTCCTCAGGAATCGAATGGAATAGGTTTTAAGGCTCTATCTCTCATAGTTTCCGAGATAATCGCGAAAAACGAAAGTGCCAAAAAAAATTAATTTAATTCATCTTGTATAGGGTGTAGGAAGTGGAAAAACGCAATTCTGAGCCGTCCATCTGCCTATACGGAACCCAAATTTCCTCAGGAATCGAATGGAATAGGTTTTAAGGCTCTATCTCTCATAGTTTCCGAGATAATCGCGAAAAACGAAAGTGCCAAAAAAAATTAATTTAATTCATCTTGTATAGGGTGTAGGAAGTGGAAAAACGCAATTCTGAGCCGTCCATCTGCCTATACGGAACCCAAATTTCCTCAGGAATCGAATGGAATAGGTTTTAAGGCTCTATCTCTCATAGTTTCCGAGATAATCGCGAAAAACGAAAGTGCCAAAAAAAATTAATTTAATTCATCTTGTATAGGGTGTAGGAAGTGGAAAAACGCAATTCTGAGCCGTCCATCTGCCTATACGGAACCCAAATTTCCTCAGGAATCGAATGGAATAGGTTTTAAGGCTCTATCTCTCATAGTTTCCGAGATAATCGCGAAAAACGAAAGTGCCAAAAAAAATTAATTTAATTCATCTTGTATAGGGTGTAGGAAGTGGAAAAACGCAATTCTGAGCCGTCCATCTGCCTATACGGAACCCAAATTTCCTCAGGAATCGAATGGAATAGGTTTTAAGGCTCTATCTCTCATAGTTTCCGAGATAATCGCGAAAAACGAAAGTGCCAAAAAAAATTAATTTAATTCATCTTGTATAGGGTGTAGGAAGTGGAAAAACGCAATTCTGAGCCGTCCATCTGCCTATACGGAACCCAAATTTCCTCAGGAATCGAATGGAATAGGTTTTAAGGCTCTATCTCTCATAGTTTCCGAGATAATCGCGAAAAACGAAAATGCAAACGAAGAAACAATTTTGTTAAAAAAGATTAGAAGTTGAGCTTTTTATACATTTTAACCTATCGATAAATTTTCGCTAGTAATTCCTCAACAGAAATTTTTAAGATATGCTCACTTCATTTCTCCTCCTCTCATCAGAAAAATCGAGCAAAAAACTTTCTTCGCACGTGATTAACTTCATGAAATTATTTCTAGATAATGTCTAGTCGAGTTTGAAGACCCACCTGGTTCGACAGTCACTATCATCCCAGGTTCTGTCCTAACACCCCTAGAAATTCTCCCAGTGTCATGCACGTCCATTCCCAAGTAGTGACTGACATGATGTGGACAATACAGATATGCAGCAGAAATCAATTGATTATCACTCATGGTTTTAGGGATGAGGCCCCCCTGCTGCAGCTTCTTTCCCAGTAACCTGCACATTTCATGAAAAAGCATGTCCAGTGTTGGAAACTCAGCCAATTGATTGATCAATGTTTTCTGAACTTCCAGAACGATCTCGTAGAGAACTCGCTGAGGATCGGTGAATGCTCCATTTATGGGCCACGTTCTCGTGATGTCTGACGAATATCCGTGGTATTCACAGCCTGTTAATGTCGTTTGAAATGGGATTTGTGATCATGAGGCAGTGACGCATGAAAAAATTAGGACAAATCTAGCGTTTTCTTAAAGAAATTCTATTGGGAAATTCCATTTGGTTTTTTGCACTTTCTGTAGAAGATTATGCTAGTGTGCCGAGTCATTTTGTTGAAGAATATTTTACAGAAATAATTCAGCCCAAGAAATCCCATAGAAAAAATCCCAACAGAATAATTTATATTAAAAAATCAACATCTATAGATTCTTTTCTGTACACAAATATCTATTTAAAAATGAGGAGGGGCATTGCATAATTTTCAACAGAATTGACGCAGAAAACGAATAGAGTTTTTCAATAGAATTCCTCAGAAAAAGCGTGCAAAAGCAAAAATTACTCACCAGCATCCATAAGAACCATGCTCCCATCCTCGACAACCTGATTATTAGCGACATAATGAATGACATTGGCATTATTTCCCCCCGCAACAACAGGTAGATAAGCCAGATACTCAGCCCCCCTCATCCTGCACTCGTAATCAACAGTAGCAAATATCTGATGTTCAGTCATTCCAGGTTTCGAAGTCTGAATGGTCCTGGCAATGGCCTCGGAGCCGATCCGACAGCTCTCCCTCATCAGCTCCACTTCGCTGTCCGACTTGATCAGTCGAATTTTGTGAAGCAGCGTCTTCGGTGAGAATATATTCTTGGCGTTGAAGCCAGTGGTCTTGATCACCTGAGCCAATTTCTTGTGCACCTCCATCTGAATAATCTCCTTATTCTCATACCAAAGATTGCAGTTGTTCTGGTGTTCCTTGAGGAACGACACAACGAATAATTCCAGGTCTGACACTGGATACGATCGATCGACTCCGAAGAATTCAGATGCAGCCTCGGCTCCCGTTCTCGGGCCGTCCCACAGCTCCATTTTTTCGTCCTTATTCTGCATAAAAATCGTTGCCGTGTGGCTGTCACCGTCCACTGTTATAACTAGGGTAGAATCCGGCTCTTGGCAGCCGGAAAAATACATAAAGTCTGTGTTTTGCCGAAAAACATACGGAATTTTGTCGGACATGTAGACTTTACTCGATGAGGGGATTATGAGTATGTGTTTTGAGGATGTTTTACCAACGCACCCCTCGGTTATTAGTTTCTCTACTAGTTTCGTTCTACGTTCTTTGAACTCGTGGAGCTTTATTCGGGGAACTAGTTCGTCGGATTTCAGCAGGTGCGGATGAGTCTGGGGAGTCGGTTGACCGTAGACTCTTGGCTTTGGGGGGCTGCATTCTGCCTTTGGATTTTGAGATATGCTGGAGGAGAAATTGGCGTATTTCTCGCCTGAAATAATGGTTTACAGTGAATGATGTTATTTATTTCTGGGAAAATTTAAGGGAAAAACCTGGCAAATTCACTAGACAATTCTATTGGATTTCTATTAGACTTTCTATTAGCTTTTGGTCGAGCCTATTGATATATTTTCCATAAAATTTCCTTGAGTCAAATTTTCTTTGGCTGATCTTTTTGATGAAAAGAAAATAAAATTATCATGAAACATAACTAAGAAAATTTGAGCTGGAAAAATTCTATAAAAAATCGAATTCGCTAGGTTTTTCTATTAAATTTTCATGAGCAGCTTCTGATTCAAAAGTTCCATTTGTCTTCTATTTATTTATTAATTTTGTACTATGTTGATTTCGAGAGCCTGATGAAGCTCAAATAATAATAAAAACATTGCGAATTGACAATGAAATAGTATTGCATATTCATGTCGTCCAAAATCTCATGATCCACATGTAATTTATAACGTTTTACCCTATTTGTTTTTTTTCTATTGATTTTGATTGATTGATTGAATGTGGTACTTTGGATCTGCTATGTATTTTTGAATTGAGTAGATTAACCTATAAATTTATTAAAGACTTAATTAATTAGTGATGAATGATACTTACAGATTTTTTTTAATTGGCTGGAGAGACTTCGCTTGACTAAACACTGCATTTTTTATAAATTATGGGCCACTCAATTGCTGATATTTATCTTATATTATGTTCACATATTAAAAACAAGCGGAGCTGCACAGCTGACGGCAGGCACATGCGCGGTTCTTGCCAAGGGTGGGGGATAATTTTTTGAATTCATCAGTGAAGTGAAATCCATTCGTTTTTTTACGCAATATTTATTAGCGAATGCGCTCGATTTTCCTATAGAAACTCTTGTGCACGCGTACGTTTTCCCTTTCATGCTGGCTCACGACTGGGTTCAATCGATTAATTAATTCATCACATTTCATATTAAAAAAAAACAAAATTATTCAGATATGGTTGGCTATTGTTTTTAACAAAAAGGCTGGAAACTTTCAAAATTTCTTGGGCTCGTCAACATATTCCGCGGTTAAAATATCTAAATTTCCAGGCAAAATGCAATCTCCATGTGAATACGAGTTTTCCAGAGGTAATGGCACAGGAGTTGCCGAGGCAATAGGTAACTGGGGTTTCTCTAACTGCAGTCCAAGCAGTAACGAGGGAGGAATTGAACGAATGAGATGTCTCTTCGAGGAGATGAAAAAATTGTAAGTAGACAGAGACACCGCACACGAATAAATTTCGTAGAAAAGTAGAAACATTCAGTTGAAAAATTTTCAAATTTTCTGAGGTTTTTCTACTCTGTTTTCGATTTTTTTTTCATTTTAAAAATGAATTACAAAAGCTTGGAAATTTTCACCCCAGAAATTTCCACAGAAAATATCTCAATGGTGTAATTTAATTTTTCATTGGACATTTCTACTAAAAAATGCGTAGACAAACCGAATTTTCAACAGAAACTTTAACAGAAATGCAACAGAATATTCTATGAAACTTTTTCGCACGTTTTCACATCAAAATCTTCAGATTCAAATGGCAACAATCGTTTCTGATATTTTCGAATAGAAAAACATCCAAGCAACCGATGAAGGTGAAGTACAATCCCCTAGACGATCCTGGAGCTTGGCACGTGTGTCCCAGCCCCCACGAGTGCAAACCCCCCTGGACATTTCCGGATAAACGTCCCCTCATCACCTTCAGCTCAACTGTCGAGACAATCCCGGTATCGAGCTATCTATCGGTGAAACAGGAAATGGTAAATCCGATTCCTGGGCGCAAGTATCTCTGGGATAAAACGGTAAGAGGAAGATCCCTCATTAATTCATGCAACCGAAGTTTCATTGAAGTATTTTTATGCAAAATTCCTTGTTCTCTTCCAGTTCACGCACAAATGGTATAGAGTTGATGGAACGAGATGCTGTTTCCCAATGAGTTGTCATCCAGCGTGTTAATTATCATTACAAAATAGTGCGGATTATCGTGATATCTGGGATTTTCCTTCATGCCAAAATAAAATAAAATGAATACTGATTGTTTCTTATATTTAATTGTCTCGTTAATGAGTGAATGAAAGAATGGAAAAGTCTGGACTGTTAATTTCCCTGGGTTTAAGCACAGAATGCAATGATCACTAGCAAAATTATAATATTTTTGTAAATTTTTAATCACAATATTGGAATTTCCACGAGACTATTGCTTTTTCTACAAGAATTTTGGTGGAAATTCCGGAAAGGTCTAGTTGGGAAATAAATCTGAAGAATATTTTGATAGGCGCTCGGTAATTAATAATGATACTTCATGATGAAGAAAATTTTTGCAGTACGTTACTACGTCAGTCACGTATATATCAGTGCTCACAGCTATGACAGGAAGTGACGAGTTTTTAACTATTCGCGTGTCAGTTAAACTTTATATTTAATCTTTTGCTCTTTTTTATTCACGTCGGGGCCATTCCAGTGCTGTGTAAATAATTTGGGAGGTGAAATTCTAAAATTCTGACACACACTGACACGAATAATTGTTCAGAAAAATTACCGTGCCGTTTCAGAAAAATAATTTTGCAGCACTGGAAAAATTATCAGGGGCGCCATAATTTTTCCGATGAACCACGGTAATTTTTCCAATTGTGCAAATCCTTCACGTTCATAGCGCACACATGAAAAATCGTGCAGTTGTGTTATCGAGAATTCTGTAAATTTATCGTATATAATATTCCTATCCTTTCTATCCCCATTTTGTCCGCAGAAATTGCTATAATTACTATTGGAAAATTAATTACTTTAGTTCATCACAATTGTCCAGTAATTTTGGAGATTCCTTGACATTTATTTCGCAGAGTGATGTGTTCTCAACTCGTGTGTATTACTACTATGCAACTGGACATTCTAGAATGCACAGAATGTATATTTTCAAGTACGAGATATTAAAAAATAAAGTTCGTGGATTCCGCTCCTTCAGATGTTTCCTCTCAAAAACACCGACGCATCACCCACGATGCATGACACAATCTGACACCCTATTTGCTATTCTCAATTGAAAATTGAACAGTATGCATTGACAAAAAAAGTGATTAAATTCAGTGAAATGGAGCTTTGAGTCGTCAACTTCTATTTAAATTCCGCGTGAATAAAAAATTCCTGTGAAATTCCTCCCCAATTCATAAAAATCCCGAAAACCTCGATCATGCCTTGTGACGGAAAAAACGCCAATTGCGAACGTCGCCGAGAACTTTTGTCCCAGTTAAAATGTCTCATCAGTTCAATGGACAGGAAGTAAGTCCCTCCCATTTTGTCAATGATTGTGAGAAAGTGATTGAGTCAGTTCACAAATGTAATTCACTGGGAATTTGACAGAAAGCCCTGCGAATGGGATGAGAATCCTTGCGCCCCTCCACTTTGCGTTTCTCGAGTTCAACCGCAGTCTCCAGAATGTGGGGTAAGTCGTGATGATAATGACGCGTATGAAAGCATTTAATGGAAAAAGCTAGCCCTTCCCCTGAGAGATTATATTGAACTTCGATTCGTAATCTATAAGAATTATATTAGCTTCATTAAAAATTCCAACAGTTTAATAGAAAAAAAGTCTATTGATTTCTTGGTTTTCTGCATGAATTATTCTCCTGAGATTTTTATATGAAAATTCTGCAAATCATCCTCGTTCCACAATCTAAGAAAATTTCAGTTAAGAAATGAGGAGATTGCGTACACCAAATGAAATTAAATTTTTGTGGTTTGCTAATTCTGCATTTATCTCGGAAACTATCAATTTCAGAAGAAAATAACAGAAAACCATTTTTGTAGCTGACAAAATTTTCTACAAAAAGTGTTTTCTTACATTTCCTCGTAAAAGCATTGGTTTTCGAGATAGATGCATGATTAGAAAAAAATACGTAGAAACCGTTTTGGACATTTTACATTTTGGCTAATCACTTCGGTATCAGAACCCCCGAAATTTTCGAAAAATAATTACGCCCTTTCCCCAGATTCTTCTCAAGCCCTGCAAAAGCTACGAGCTTCGTAGCAGCATAATGTACCGCTGCGAGTGTATAAAAAGGAATGGTCTCCAAGACAGATGCATGATGTGGAACTGCATGGGTCGACCCGAGTGCATGACGAAGCTCTACCCAGTCTGCGGACCAGGAAGGGCGGCTCTACTGAAATTAACCGATCTGGGAGACATGACTGAGGCCCTACAGAGATTCTACAATGCCGATCAGGCCCGAGAATCTGCCCTGGCAGCGTACTGCCGGCTCGCGTGTCCCGATATCAATGCTATGATCCCAAACCCTTGCGCTGAACAGCAATCGAGCTGTCAACAGCAATCTCCCTGCGCCTATCCCAGTTTCATTCAATGTTAAAAAAAAATCTCAAAAAAACAGAAAAATGCTACTGATTTTTCTTTCATTAAACATCACTTATCAGAATGTTCTCCTGAATTTCATTTAAAGAAAATCCTCGACATAATTCATGATTTATCTTGAGAGAAACAATAATTTGAATTTGAAAGAATTTTCGTCGCAAGAATTCAATTTTTTTAAGGAATTTGATTATTAATAGAACTGAAATGAGATTCTCATTATCAGAATTTCTCACATATGAGCATTCGCTTTTGAGAATCAAGCGGTGGAAATCTTTTCCCAGAAGAATTCCGTAGACAATTGATTAAATGAATAAATAAATACATAAAGAAGCTTGAATCACTCACCGGCGTTGGATGAAAACAACAGCTCCGTTTTCACCTCTCCAACCGCCCACTTGATCGTAATCATTTACATTCGATCCTTCCGGACGCAAATTGATTTCACTCCACTCAGGGAGACAATGAAAACGAAATAAGTTCACTACACTATGAGAAAATGCCACAAACACACTTCATCTCACGAGAAACAACACTAGAACCACTGTCGAATGAACAATTGACACTGAAATCACTAAAAAAATGAACAAATAACTATTTTTACACCAACAAAAGCTCTTGGTTGATATTCTCAATTTTTTACGCTCACTCTACGCTGTAAAAAAAACACAATTTGTTTTAAAATCACTCCATGATCCTTCTCCCAAGTGTCCTCGGTACCTCAAAGGCAGCTAATAGGAGCAGGGGGGGCAAAATGGACACTTCAGACATTATTTTCAATATTCATACTTCAGGAATAAAAATTATTAGGGCAGGTTGTGTAAAACGGGGGTTGAAATGTTGATAAAATTTAATAATTTTTTTTTTCAATACAAAGAACAATTCTTTCCCTTTGTGGCGAGCCTAAACTCAGCGCAATTGATAAATTTGTTTCTGAGTTGTGAATAATTAAAAAAAAGTCTAAAGTGTCCATTTTGCCGAGTCGTTCCCGAACGGTTTGTATTAACACAAAGACTGCCGGCCGATTTTCAATATTACAATGACAAAGAATCACAAATTCTAAAAAAAAATCACACTTTGATTGCGTCTTTTAAGACACTCGTAAAATCACAATTTGTTCAATATCACTAATCAGCCCATAGACACATGAATATGACATCAATCTTCCCAAAATCCTCATAATATTCCACTCGAGTGTTCACCCAGACACAAAAAATAACAGTCCCCAAACAACGGCTCCCGCCATTTTAATTCCCCGATCCCATTGTCACCGTGAAAAAATCACATTCGTCCGATTCAACTCGTAAAAATGCTTGTTACATCACAAAATCACTTCAGGAGGCTCAAACGAGTCCTTTCCCTTTGTTTCGCCGGCATTTGAGCGATCAAACACCGGCTTCGGGTTGAAGGTTATCGTAATTTTCAGACGCCGGCTCGAATCCAACACTTTATCCAATGTAAATCACCAACTCAGAGACACATCCATCTCAGGAGGCCTGTGGAGAGGCTCGACTCGACAACTTCACCTTCGGGGATGCCAATTCAACGAATTTATGTTCTCGGGAAACCCCTACTCGCACGTCGACCGTTTGACTGAGAACAAAGAAGAACGGAGAGCGAGAATCTGTTCTTCTTTGTCACAATTTGTTCAACATCACTAATCAGCCCATAGACACATGAATATGACATCAATCTTCCCAAAATCCTCATAATATTCCACTCGAGTGTTCACCCAGACACAAAAAATAACAGTCCCCAAACAACGGCTCCCGCCATTTTAATTCCCCGATCCCATTGTCACCGTGAAAAAATCACATTCGTCCGATTCAACTCGTAAAAATGCTTGTTACATCACAAAATCACTTCAGGAGGCTCAAACGAGTCCTTTCCCTTTGTTTCGCCGGCATTTGAGCGATCAAACACCGGCTTCGGGTTGAAGGTTATCGTAATTTTCAGACGCCGGCTCGAATCCAACACTTTATCCCATGTAAATCACCAACTCAGAGACACATCCATCTCAGGAGGCCTGTGGAGAGGCTCGACTCGACAACTTCACGTTCGGGGATGCCAATTCAACGAATTTATGTTCTCGGGAAACCCCTACTCGCACGTCGACTGTTTGACTGAGAACAAAGAAGAACGGAGAGCGCGAATCTCTCTGTTCCAATTCCTCTCGTACCGCCAGTGGTTCTACTGCGCATTCCCGTCACGCAGAGGAGTTGGCGCGCTACACGCAAACGGTTACGCACGGTTAGATTGGAAATGGTGGGGGAAGTCAACTTCCCCTACGGAAATCTTAGAGAAACGAAATTATAAATTTCCAGGGCATAATTATAATTTATTCGGAGGAGTAACGGCGTTTGCTTCTCTCTCTCTCTTTTAGAATTGAGGGTATAACCTTAACGAATAGAAAAAGGGGAAGATAAGATGCGAAATCATCCACTATTCGAAATTATGTGAAATTGTAGAAAGCAGTCAATTTTTAGGTCGACGGAAAAATCAACCATTTCTCAGGGAAATGTCCAAAACCAAATTTCTCATGAAATCCTGAATAATTCGATGAAAAAAAAATTTCATTTGTTTTTTGTGTGATTCTACTGGATATTCAATGAGAAAAAGTCAATAGATTTCGAATATCTGTTTGAATTTTTCTCTGGAGCGGAAAACTTGGGAAATTTGTGCCCAACAATTCTAATAGAAAAAATATCACGAGAAAAATTCGACCGGAAATTCAAAATATATTGACTTTTTCCTATCACATATGCAATAGAATCAGCGCGAAAACGAATAGAATTTTTCAATAGAATTCCAATAGAATTTTCTAACGAATTCGCTAGATTTATTGAATTTTTCCATGCGTGTTTACCCACGAAATTCCCCATTTCTCCAGTCATTCCCGCTTTCAATACAATTTCCCCGACGTCCCCACCAGCGGAATAATTGGTGGTGGGGCCTCAAGGAGACGAGGAGAAGTCTAAATCGCCCGGAACGTCATCTTCAACTGCCCGAGCGAACCTCTCCCCTGTTTTCGTCTCCATAATCCAAGATAAAACCTCCAGAGTAAAATATTCCCACTCGGAATATTCTCAACAAAGAAACATTTTCAAGTGTGCGAATGCGGTTGAATTCGTAGTGAAATATTCCTCCTTTAATTGACCTGATGAATTTAATCTAATCAAAGGTTATCCCATATGTTGAGCACCGAATCCAGAGTCGGAAAGGTTGGAATATATGTACAACACACCGAATGCACATAAACACAGAAAATCCGGAGAAATCCCCCACAATAACCCCAAGTCCCAGTGCAATTACCCCACAACCGCTCGTCCGAACTCCGGAAATGTACTCCACAACCAAATTTTTGGTTACGAACACGCTGTGGGGGATGTGGCAGAGGCCTCACAGCAGTCCCTCGGACGTCGGGGCCTTCATCAACTACCTCCCCTACAAGAACGAGTGGTCCGTTCAATTCTCCAACGCCCAACACGACCTCGCGCTCCACCAAATCTACCAGCTGTTCTCCTTCTGCGGGAGGATCAGCAATGTCGTCCAACGCGCCAACCACGAGCGAACTGTTTACGTGAACTTCGAGTCCGAGACGGAGGCGAGACGATGCGTCGTCGGCATGATGCAGCAGCAGAGCTCCATCCGGTTGCAGCCGTTTCCAAAAAATCAGAGTTCAATGAAAAATAATCAGAGTCCAATGAACAACTTCACACCCTCGAACCTGGGAAAGGTTTCTCCAATGAAGAATGCGAGTGACGCTGGACCCCTCAGCCAAACGGGATCTTCGGTGACTTCTGAAGAGAAAAATGACAAGTCAACGACGCAGCAGAATCCCCTGGAAATCCTGGGGAAATCTGCCAGGAAATCTCCAGAAGACACTCCAGAGGAGTTCTTCGCGCAGTTCAAGGGGAGCAAAAAGTCTCCAGTCCCACAATTTCTGGATACAAATCCCTTCAAAACCCTTTTGGAAGAGGCGAAGGGCTCCGGTGGGGCTGGAGCAGCAGGAGAGGAAGAGGAGGGAAGGGAGGAGGGAAAATCGGTGGAGATTCAGAGGAGATCGAGGGACCAGAGGCCCCAGGCGATCATCGAAGCCCAGGAGGTCGTCGTGGCGAATGTTCCTGAGGGCTATGGGGTCTTCTACGTTCTGCATCTCCTCGAGAAGTTCGAGCCCATCTGCGTCTCGGAGATGATGACCCTGGGGAAGCATTCCCTTCGGTATTGCCATGTTTATTTCAAGACACCGGGGGATGCCGAGGCTGCGGAGGCGGATTTTGATGATGTGGAGCTGGCGGGGAGGAGACTCATTGTTTTGAGGCCTCACACGATGGCTGAGGAGGCGCAACGGAATGCAGGGGAGGAGTGAGGAGCTGGGGGTGGAGAATTTTTGGTTTTTTACTTTTGAAGACAGACACTTTAGACTTTTCGTTCAGTTATCAAGGATTTTGTTGAAGTTAGTTGCGGAACTGAGAAACTTCGAGTCAGGTCTTGCTGAGTTTTTGAGGGATATCTCCGAATCTAAGGGAGATAGCGAAATTTTTGTAATGACCTTTTTTGTGGGGCACATTGAGAGCTGCAAAAAAGGTCCTCACAAAAATTTGGCTATCTGCCTTGGATTCGGAGATATTCATTGAAAACTGAACAATCTTCTAAATTGATTTGAAATCGTTTTACTGGTTCGTTATTGAATTTTGGGGAAATAGAATATTTTTTTGGCGGCATTCTTCACCTGCGTGGTGAGGCTAGACTGAGGCCAATTCGTAAATTTATTTCTGAGCTTTGAATATTTAAAAACAGTCGAACTGTCGATTTTGACTTCTTATTTGAAAAAAGTTACGTTATCTTTTGAATTTCGTATAATTTATGCTGCGTTTGATGGAACAGTTTCTCGTGACGACGTCAGACTGCAGAAGATATTGTTTTATTTTCGCTTTTTAATTCAATGATATTTACAAGAGAGTGAGGGGCCTTGAGCGTCTCGTACGATTTAGGGGAGGTTGGGGTAAAATGGACACTTTTTACTTTTTTAAAAATGTTAATGACGGGTTTAAATGTTGATAAAATGTCATGATTTTTTTTTCATTGCAAAGAACATTTCTTCCCCTCTGTGATGAGCCTAAACTGAGCTCAATTGATAAATTTATTTCTGAGTTATGAGTAATTAAAACAAAAGTCTAAAGTGTCCATTTTACCCCACTCTCCCCTAAGCCAGTTTCGATCGAAAGAAAGACTATTTTTTCTTGAAGAACTGTTCGTTCTCTCTTTCATTAGGAATGATTTTTATTTTTATAACGCAATGACGAACAAATGTATCAACGTCATGTATTTCGATACCAAAAACCTGAGATTAAATCACTTTTCTACCAATTTTACTCAAGTTTTTTCATTTTTCTGGGATTTCATTAATTTATTCCATCATTAACAAGATAAAAAGTTTGAAAAATTATTTTTCATTGCGAGTATTTTAGAAATAATAAATGATCAACAAATTTTTCATCGTAAAAATCAGATTTTCCCGATCTCGAAAAGAATTTTCTCATTTAAAATTCTATCAGAAATTTGGTGTTTAAATAATTTGTATCATTTACTTTATGACAAGGAAATTTTCGAAAATAAAAATCACCGCCGTTTGACGGTGAAGGTCGGCAAGTTGAGAACTTTCAGCCACTGACGTCTCCATAAATGAGAACCACGGAGTCAAATGATTCCACGTAAGAAAGTCATGCCATAACCTCGGTTAAAATCACTCCTGTCATATCCAACAATATTTTTCCGGTTAATAATGTAAATTAATGTCATTCGTTAACCAACGTGAAGGCACAAGTGCAACGATCAATGAAGTGATTATATCAGCAAGATGAATAAAACTGAGAAGCTCTTAGCTGCTAGGAGAAAGGTACAATTTCAGATCACCACCCATCGTTCACGTCATAAATCATAGTTAATATTGAAACAATCTGGGATTTTTTCCTTCCAGCTGAAGGAATTTCAACAGCACAAATTGAATCACAATCATCATCAGGCAGAGGCCGGTCAGCTACAGCAGGAAACCACAAAGGTAATTACGAATTTTTTTCATCATTCTTTAAATTATTTCGAATGCAAAACATTCATTTTAACAGTCATTCTATTCACAAGTTGGTTTTGGTTTTGTTCCCTTGATAAAAGAGGGATTTACACTCTTTATTTACAATTTTTTATTCCTTTTTTGGAGCAGGAAATGAACAGAATACCAGTCACAGGAATTTCTGATTATTTTGCTGTTTGGATTATTTGAAAGCTTTAGTAATTGAATAATTATTTGTAGAATGGGGGATTTGATAAGGAAATAGGAGATTTTTCTGTCTAAATTACCAATTTTTCAAAGTTTTTCTCCATTTTGTAAATTATTTCAAATGCAAAAAAAAGGTTTTTTTTTCAATTCATAAACTGGTTTCTTTTCTCGAATGCGTTTTTGAAGCATTATTTTAATTTTTCATTTTTTAAAATATCATAAAACTTCAGTAAGGGATGAGTGATTTTGAGTGATGAGTGATTTTATAGGGAAATTCTAATATTTTTCTGTAAAGGATTTCATCAGTTCCAAAAAGCCTTCACACTTCAGTTATAAAAGTTTGTGTACTAAATTCTCTCTTCAAAAATCCCTGTCTCATTCCCTCAGACGTCAAGACGTCCCCCTCCCCCCAAATCATCCCATAAATACTATTTAATCTCCACCACTTTCCCCTAAAATTACCAATCACTCGTATCACTTCGTAATTCTTCAGAACAATGTGCCAGCAGTGCCTCCAGGCAGCCCCCAGGATCACCCCCAGAAATTCGCCGACTCTGCCCCAGCCGCAGCCACCCCCACCC